TCACCTAATTGATCCTCGGTCACTTCCTAATTATGGCGGTAGTTAATCTAACGTGTTAGGCCTTCACTCCAGCTCCTGAAGGCCTAACCAATGGGAGAGCTCGCTCAGCTGTTTCTGCCTAGATACAATCCTGATTGGATCATTTTCCATTAACTGTTTGAAGAATTTAAACCTTTTGTTTACAACCAAAACTCATGAGTGTAATAAAGGCCTTTCTACAGTACCCGCAGTGTTTAAATAAACAAGCCGGCTGATTATATTCAATAAAAAATGAACTTAAATATTATAGACGTGCACTTATGTGTTCCCAGAAATCATTAAGCGTTGTCTGAAAGCCTAGAAGACCCTGAGGTTCCCCTCTGCAGGGTGGTGTGTGTGAATGCATAAGTACATATGCTGATGTGTGTGTCTGGATGGATGAGTTGTGTGTGATCAGGTCAGAAAGACAGCAGCTGTGTTTCCAGTCTCTAGTGACTGAGTAGAACGTGTGAAAGGGTCTCCTCCATACATTCACTCACACCCCCCCCACCCCAGCTTCAGGGCCAGGACAGAGCCGTTATGTAATTATGGATGTTTGTTTAATTATTGTTATTTGTGTTATTAGTGTTATTTTGAGTGTTTGAATGTTGATAGTGATGTTTACTTTCTCTCCGTTTCAGTTCCTTTTGTGTCTTCACCTGTGATTTGATGTCATTGTAACGCTATCAAATCAACACATACATTGACATATTCAAAGGCTGTCATCTCCAGTAATGTCCACTCTGCAGGCCCATATTAGGAGCTCTGTGTTTAAGCTGTTCTTCTCTATGGGAAAAGTGAATGGAGTTCCATTTACCATAGAATATCACTTTGTGGTAAACAAAATTGTTCCAAATCAGATTAAGTGTTTTCCAATATGTACATTTTTCCACCAAATGTCTCCGGATCCTCTTGTTCACAATTTTGTTGAAAGTTTAAATAGTAGTAATAATAAAAATAATAATATGTTCGGTTTATATAGTGCCTTTCTCATACCCAAGGTCTGTTTACAAGAGAAAAGAGGGATGTTTTAAGCTGAGCTTTGAAGGAGGAACATGAGGGACAGTCATGAAGAGATTACAGTAATGTTTTGCATAGTTTGGGGGCCATGATGCTCAAAGATCTGCCCCCAACAGTGACCAATATAAATATGGGGACAGCTAGACGACCTGTGTCAGAGGACCTAAGTGTTCGGACAGGGCAGTATGGTTGCAGGAGATCAAGTAGAGGTTTGTATGTTAGCAGGACGACTTTAAACGAAGCGGGTGACCAGTGTAACTGACATAGAAGTGGGGTGATATGCGCTTTTTTTTTTAGAGTGAGAGAGGATTCTAGCAACTGATTTTTGGAAATGTTGAAGAGGGCGGATAGTTTTGTAAGGGACACCGATTGTACTGTGACGGAACCAGCCAGACGCTCACGGTTAAAACAAGAAATGAGGCTTTACTTGTAAAGGTTTTGACAAGAATCGTAGTCAGTGAACAGGCGAAGGTCAAACATAACAAAGGAAACCAGATCCAGAAAGGGCAAAGGCAAAAAGGCAAAGTCAGAAAATCTGGAAACAAGGTCAAATACACAAGAAGACCAAACAACAATCAGGATATATACATATATATATATATATATATATATATATATATATATATATATATATATATATATATATATATATATTGGGGTGGGACCTCACGATTCGATTCGATTACGATTCAGAGGGCTGCGATGCTATTATAAAACGATTATCGATGCATCTCGATGCATCTTTTTTCTCTATACAGGATCTCTATCTTCCTACTGTCTGAGGACTTGGTAGTTTTAAAGCAAAGTATTTGTAATGATCCATAATGTAAATGCATTACGGATCATTACAAATACTTTGCTTTAAATATCTAAAATATCTTTTATTAATAAATCAAATGGAAGTGATGTGGCAAGTGAACTAGAAGGCTCTCATTCAGAGACGCTGCTGCCACTCATCTGCGATCAAATGTGCTGTTACCCTGAAATAAGATCCAATGGTAATGAGTGTCCACGCAGCACGTTAGTCATCCTTCCCGTTTTCTTTAGTGATCTTATAACTGCGGTTTGGTCTCGTTGTAGAGAGTTGTATTTTCGAGACTGGACGCTGAATCTCGGCTCCAGAGTGTGCAGCATAGCGCGAAAGCCCTGGTTCTCAACGACCGAGAACAGACAGCAGACAGCAGGTCACACAGCACCGAGGCCTGGCCTCGCTAGCAGCGAACGAAAAAACAGAGATTCAGACGAACATTTGCATTTGGAGGACTTATTCGCATTTATAAGCAGTTGGTTAAATCTGCAACGAGAGTTAAAAAAAGCTGCGAAAATGAACTCGCTTCTCTTTCGAATTTTCCCGTTCCACCTTAAATGGTGCAGCAGTTACATTCGGCGCCTAAGGCAGAATTTAAGGTGAAACGGGAAAATTAGAACGAGAAGCTGGCGAATGAGAAGCGACCTCAGCTTCGTAAAACAGCCGGACGCTGAGACATTTTACAAGAAACTCTTCTAGTTTTGAAGAAAAGTTTTCTGGCGGAGATGGGAGGAAAGCGGCTAAAGCTGAAGCTTAAAGTAAAGCAAAGTAAATCTGCGCTCTCGTTTATATTTTTAGCCCATACTACGACATTAACACATACTGAGACATTAAATGTTGTGGCTCCCAAGGTGGTTTGACTTTGTTGAAAGGGAAAATGTCTCTTCTTAACATTTGTGTTGTGACTCCTGACCTAACCTGGCTTTAATGCAGAGGGAGCCGGTCGGATTTCTCGCTCATCCACTTGTGTTTTTGTTATGTGCCTCCACAGACTGTCCGGGCGCTGCACTTACCCACTTCCAAGTTCCGCCTTTTGCGTTCCGTCAACATTACGTTATAAATTAAATATTTAGAAAATCGATTTTTGACATTTGTGAATTGATTCAGAATCGTTCACGTCCGCATCGCGATGCATCTAAGAATCGAGTTTTTCCCGCACCCCTACCATATATGTGTGTGTGTGTATATATATATATATATATATATATATATATATATATATATATATATATATATGGTTTGAAAGAATATTAATGTTGCTACATGTGAGCTGCGTTCACACTATAATGGCAAAAAATGTGTCCTCAGCCCTTAATTTTTTTTAAGAGCTCACTCAGCTGTTTCTGCATAGATACAATCCTGACTGGATCATTTTCCGTTAGCTGTTTAAAGAATTTAAACCATTTGTTTGAATGGCAACCTCACCAACATTCCCCACATAAACAAGCAAGTTTAGTCCAGTGTGGTAGTTAAGTCGTTTCAGGCTGCAGTTTGAGCAGCTGGAGTTTTTATATAACAGTGTTGAAATGTAGTAGCGGACTTACTTTCATGTGACATCAGTTCAGTGTGCAGAAAGGTTATCTTGCTTGTAGTGTATACACTGTATGGACAGTGCAATAGGACACGCCTCTTAGTCACTGAGTTCATGTGTTTCATTCAGTCTCATTGCCACAGATGTATAAAATCAACCACGTATTGATCTCCTCTGGCATCAACATCAGCACAAAATCTGGAGCTTCATGCCATGGGTTTCCATGGCCGAGCAGCTGGATGCAGGCCTTAAATCACCAAGCACAATGCCAAGCGTCGGATGGAGTGGTGTAAAGTGCCGCCACTGGACTCTGGAGCAGTAGAAACGTATTCAGTATCAGTCTGATGGACAAGTCTGGGTTTGGCGAATGCCAGGAGAACATTACCTGACTGCACTGTGCCAGCTGTAAAGTTTGGTGGAGAAAGGATGATGATATGGGTTGTTTTTCAGGGGTTTGTCTAGAACCCTTAGTTCCAGTGAATTGAAATCTTAATGCTTCAGCAGACCAAGACATTTTGGACAATTTCCAACTTTGTGGGAACAGTTTGGGGAAGAACCTTTCCTGTTCCAGCATGACTGAGCCCCAGTGCACAAAGCAGCTCCATAAAGGCCTGGCTGGGTGAGTCTGGTGTGGAAGAACTTGACTGACCCTCACAGAGCCCTGACCTCAACCCCATCAAACACCTTTGGGATGAACTAGAACGGAGATTGTGAGCCAGACCCTCTCGTCCAACATCAGTGTCTGACCTCACAAATGCTCTTCTGGATGAATGGGTGTTGTGGGACACACTGCAAAATCTTGTAGAAGCTTCCCAGAAGAGTGGAAGCTGTTAGAGCTGCAGAGGGGGACCAACTCCATATTAATGCCCATGGATTTAGAATGGGATTCATAAAAGCTCCTGTAGGTGTGATGTGTAGGTGTCCCAATAGTTGTGTCCATATAGTGTTATGTAGTATTATTTGTATTTTAACTCCTAAATGACCACAAATTTCAGATCCACTGACCTCCTTGCTTCAGAGGGTTGAACATTTTTGTTTACCACAGCGACGAAAGCTCCATTCATCGTTCCCATAGAGAAAACCAGCTCATATCTATCTTCCTATATGAACATGACACATGACCAGAGAGGTCTATTCAGAATCTCTAATGGTAATAACAAAGTACCGGATGTCATATATAAATATCATTATAACCATTGACCATTGTTTATAGCCTCCATGAGAGTGGTCAGGCTTATAAATGGTACCTGCAGTTCACACAGGAATTGGCTGGGCAGGTTGTTGCCAGGCAGCAGAGTCCCCAGCTGCTCCAATCAGAGTCGCCGAGAGCACCCGAGGGGCGTGGACAGGCGTTCCCACTTAACTGACAGCTTCCTTTCACCTTCACAGTGACTTTTAAGGCCATTCTGCCTCCCTTTGACTGACAGGCCATTGTGTGACGCTGTCATCACAGTCCCTTCATAGTGACCTGTGTCTTTGTTTACGTATCATCCCCGTTCATTTTTATCTCCTCCATCCCCCTCTCTCTCTCTCTCTCTCTCTCTCTCTCTCTCTCCCTCTCTCTCTCTCGTGCTGTCTCTCTCCCTCTCTCTCTCCCTCGGTCTGTCTGTCTCTCACCCAAAGGTGTCCCCGTGAACAGTCGTGTCTCGTCTAAAATCCAGCAGCTCTTGAACACGCTGAAGAGACCAAAGCGCCCCCCGCTGCGCGAGTTCTTCGTGGATGATTTCGAGGAGCTCCTGGATGGTAGGTTCATAATGATGTAGAGGGGGGGCATTATGAACCTACGATCTGGACGGTTTGTTCATAATGCCCTGACGCTAAGGCCATAAATTCATGCCTGGGAAGAAAGGTTTAGCAAATTTCAACAAAATTTTAACAGTTTTAGTGTTTTTGGGAGATGGTGTGGAACACCAAGTGGTAGATGAATAGATTGAATAGATCGTTTTCATAATCTTAAAGTCGTAACAGTATAATTACTGCTGCAGATGCTTTTAGTTTAAAGGCCCTCATGTGAATACAGTGTCACTTACTTCATAAAACAAACCGTCATCTTATGAATACTGACAGAAGCTGTTCACAAATTATTACATAATTTTAACATCATTCAAGGCCTATGCATGTGCTAGCCTTGTGGTGTGTGTGTGTGTATATATATATATATATATATATATATATATATATATATATATATATATATATATATATATATATATATATATGTATATGTATGTGTGTATATATATATATATATATATATATATATATATATATATATATATATATATATGCTAACTGTCTACTTCATTAAGTCCACCTCCTTGTATCTACATTCACTGTCCATTTTATCAGCTCCACTGTCCACTGTCTCTGTAGTTCTACAGTTACAGACTGTAGTCCATCTGTTTCTCTGCATACCTTGTTACCCTGTTCTTCAGTGGTCAGGACCCCCATGGACCCTCACAGTGCAGGTACTATTTGGGTGGTGGGTCATTCTCAGCACTGCAGTAACACTGACGTGGTGGTGGCGTGTTAGTGTGTGTTGCGCTGGTCTGAGTGGATCAGACACAGCAGTGCTGCTGGAGTTTTTAAACACCTCAGTGTCACTGCTGGACTGAGAACCAAAAACATCCAGCCAACAGCGTCCTGTGGGCAGCATCCCTTGACCACTGATGAAGGACTAGAGGATGACCAACACAAACTGTGCAGCAGCAGATGAGCTATCGTCTCTGACTTTACATCTACAAGGTGGACTGACAAGGTAGGAGTGTCTAATAGAGTGGACAGTGAGTGGACACAGTGTTTAAAAACTCCAGTATAATAACACATCCATATGATACTTTTCTGCAAATTTTAGTGCCCAGTTTTTATTTATTTGCTGTGTTTAACATATTGGAACAAACATAAAATACAAAATACCGTCACTGTTACACAACCTACGTTTTATTTTTTTGCCCAGGTTGTTAAATTCAGAACATAATTATAGAAAAAAACACAAATCATGTAAGTTGACCAGGGTGCACAAACTTTTGCATATGACTAAATATTCACAGTACTTTGCAAAAGTCTTAGACACCTAAGCTTATTATTTAACAGCATTTATCTTGTCAGTGTGTTTTTGCTTGTAAAATCACCATCTATGTATTGAGTAAATTCAAATAAACACTAATACAGTAACACAAATGTCTTACATTCAACATATTAACATACATGAAATCACTATATGCTGTATTATTAGTGTTTATTCTAGTATTAGCATTTTTTGAGCAAATAAGCACTTACAGCCCAGATAAACAGCCTTTTTCATGCAGATTTTCCTAAAACATTCGCACAGCACTGTATACATGTAATTAAAATGCCACTAAAATATTGGAATAGCTGTTGGCTTTACCTGCCATCGTGACCTGTAAGTGATCCATAAACAGCAGGTGACACTTTGGCTGCTGCTTTTCTCCCAGAGCATAAATTAAACCCCTTTAATCACCTTTCTGTTTCTTTTAACATGAGTCAAGTGCAATTAAAGGTCACACGGAGGACTAAAATTCAGGCTGCTGTGCTTTCCTGTCCTGCTCCCTGACGGAATTCCGTTTAATCCGTTTACCTGCATATGTAACCCACTCTCACTCTGAAAATAATACCTGTTTTTGGCTTTGCAGTGAAATTGGCGTTAATGCTGAAAAAATAAGAAACTAGATTCATATTTAACACTTCATAACCCAGAGTGCGCGTGTGTGTGTGACGGTATAGAATGTGTTTGCTGTGTGTTTGATTTTAACAGCGTGTCCTTGTGTTTGTGTCATGTAGATCGTATAGTATAGTAGACAGTAGGCTGCTTATATGCATGTGATAGTGTGTGTCTATGTGCATAGATTACTGAGGCGTATACATTGGCAGTTAAAAAGAACTGCTCCCATGAATGTGTGTCCATGAGAGCAGCTCTTTTAAAGAAATGGTTCAAATTTACTCAGTTTTCCACCCAAATGTACATAAAAAGGTGCTTTGAATTTACATGATTCAAATGTGTCAAGTGGTTGCAGTTGAATAAAATGTTGCACATGAACCAAGTTTTTACTAGAACAAGTAAACAAGGATATATGTATGTATATCGCTGTTATCGGAACAAAACCTCCTATCTCCAAAATGGTAACTTTACAGGAGAAGGAATAAACCTACTTTACTTTTAATGTAAGTCAATGGAACCAGACTTTTTTCCAAGTCGTTTTGGGCCGTTTATTTTGGTCCATTCATCATGAAATGTACATACAATGTGAAGAACAACAGGCATTTTCAAATTATATCAAACTGAAAAACGACAAAAGTTGAGATACACGGTTTTGTTCTGACAGCATTGAGAAATATATATATATATATATATATATATATGTTGATGTAATATATGTCATTTGTGTGCGACCACTTGACACAACTCAATTATGAACGAATTTTAGTGTAGTATAATTAGCTAAGGCATATTTGGTTTCCTGAACTGAAGCTAATATTACTAACAAACACTAAAAGTCAATAGCCACCCAAACCATCTAAAGTGTCTGTCCCCACCATTCAGCTACACAGTGAGCTGTTGTTCATTTTTGCAGCTCACAGTAAATTATGTATGCTCTAAAGCACTTCAGCAAACCTGCCTGCATGGCTTCAATAAAGACCTCAATGCAGTTTGAGTGGGTTTAGAAAAATTTGGGCAATGTACAAATTTACAGAAAATGTTTGGGTGACTATTGACTTCTAGTGTTGTTAGTAACGTTTAGTCTCATAGCTCCAGTTAAAAAACTACAGAAGCCAAATTTGGACACCAAATACGTCTTGGCTGATCGACTGCATGTGTGGCAAGTTGAAAACTGTGTAAATCAGATTTTTCTCCAAACCATTCTGTTGAACAAACAGGTAAACTCATCAAAAACAGGTGCTAAACATCAATGTGGACTGACAGTGTATCTTACACACGTGTATCAGCATGTGCTATACTCTGATATGGAGGCTGTGGGGTCGGGGGGGGCAGTGATAGCAGTATGTGAGGTGTGGTCCAGAATGAGCTTGGGAACACACATACACTCACACAAACAAAAAACCTAACCACACAAACCACGGATTCACTCGATTCCCATTTCCTGAATTCCTACGGTGTCAGTGCAGCTGCATGTAGGGGAAGAGAGAACACAGTAACACCAAACATCAGATTATCTAAAGGCTGTTTTGGTTTTTTGCCGGGGTCTTTTGATCTCTAGAGGCTTTAGCAGGTGGTGGGTGTCTGTTTGGTGTGTTTAGCATATAGTGGTGGATTTAGAGCAGTGTTTTCCAGATCATACAGCAGAGTCGTGGATATATAACAATATGAAGTCTGTATAGTATAGCAACTTACAGTGTACATAGTGTAGCAGTGTATTGGGCATATAGTGTATAATGTAGTATAGTGTAAAGTTTAGGGTGCCCAGTATAAAATTGATGGTGTCTAGTGTGAAGTTTAGTGTGTACAATATAAAATGTATTGTGTACAGCATAAGGTTTAGAGTGCGTAGTATGAATTTTTAAGGTGTGCAGTGTAAAGTTTGGGGTGTACAATGTAAAGTTTAGGGGGCACAGTATAAAGTTTGAAGTGTAAAGTGCAAAATTTATGGTGAACAGTGTAGAGTGTATGGTACAGGGTTTAAGGTGTACAATGTTGGGTTTGGGTTATACAGTGTAGGGTGGGTTAGGGTATATGGTGTAGAGTTTGGGGTATACAGTGTAGGGTTTGTGCTATATGGTGTAGGGTTTAGAGTACATTATATAGGGTTTAGGGTGTATGATGTAGGCTTTAGGGTGTACAGTGTAGGGTTTAGAGTGTACGATGTAGAGTTTAGAGTATTTGATGTAGGCTTTAGGGTGTACAATGTAGAGTTTAGGGTATATAATGTAGGGTTTAGGGTATACGGTGTTGGGTTTAGGGAGTTTGGTGTAGTGTTCAGGGTGTATAGTATAGGGTTTGGGGTATACGGTGCAGAATTTAGGGTATATAATGTAGGGTTTAGGGTATACAGTGTTGGGTTTAGGGAGTTTGGTGTAGTGTTCAGGGTGTATAGTATAGGGTTTGGGGTATACGGTGCAGAGTTTAGGGTATATAATGTAGGGTTTAGGGTATACGGTGTTGGGTTTAGGGAGTTTGGTGTAGTGTTCAGGGTGTATGGTGTAGGGTTTGGGGTATACGGTACAGAGTTTAGGGTATATAATGTAGGTTTTAGGGAGTAGGGGGGGTATATCGGGTGTGTTGTTTTACTGGGCATAGTACACTCATGCTGCAGTGGCATCACCTGCCACTCAAAATAAATCAGTCCTTTTCTCTGCTTTCTGCACCCCCATCTCCCCCCCACCCGCCCCCACGCACACACACATGCACACACACACACACACACCTGCTTGTTTACAACCTTGCTCCATCTCATTTCATCTCATCACAGGGACACATAAGTCACCACAGGACACCTGACAGTTCAAAGATATTGGACATCACTCTCTCTCTCTCTCTCTCTCTCTCACTCTCTCTCTCTCTCCATCCTTAACCCCTAATGTTTTTTCCTCTGCCAGCATGCCTGAAGTCGCGTCTCATTAGGTGTTTTCTTCTGCTATTGCATGGACATTTAAACCCAGAGAAGAATATACATTCACTTCAGATGTATCTGCTGTAGATTCTGCTCAGATGTGGTGTAACACATACATGGGTGTAATATTCACCTGCATATACTTTATGCATATTAATGACTAATTGTCAGTTATATGTAAGTATTTATTCAGGCTCACATTTGTAAACTAATAACATTGCAAGTCCCTTGTCAGTGTCTTGTACTTCCTACATCTTCTATTTTCTATCTATCTATCTATCTAGCTAGCTAGCTAGCTATCTATCTATCTATCTAGATGACTGTCAGTGTCTTTGTCTCTCTCCCCCACCTCTCTCTCTCTCCATCTCTCCAGTCCAGCAGCCGGACCCTAATCAACCCAAGCCCGAGGGGGTCCAGATGAGCCCCCTTCATGGCGACCCGTTGGGGGTGGTGACAAACTGGCCTCCATCGTTGCTGGCCTCGTTGCAGCGGTGGGGAACTGCACAGCCCAAAAGCCCCTGCCTGACCGCACTGGACAACGCCGGCAAACCCGTCTACACACTCACATATGGTACGTTTACCCTGTCAAACCTGTATACACCCACATAACTACCACCCAGACATGATCTCGTACCGTTCATATTCATCTGGGGACGACCGTGAGGATTGGTGGGCTAAATGTGGGTGGGAACGTTGACTTATTAGGGTGGGAACAAACTCAGTGTGAAATTTCTAAACCAATCCAACGCCTCAAAGCAGAGGGCGATGGTGGGCTTATGAACACTGTCCGAAGAGCAACAAGTCCGATGATTGTAACACAAATTAGCATCGCTGAAAGTTCCCCCAAAAATGTATTAAACATGTAGATGTAGTGTGGAGAACACACTACATACCTTAACATTAAACATGACCTCGCAACAGTAAAAAGGGTTATGTTAAAGGAGACTTTGGCATCAGAAGAAATCACTGGACAGGTAATAAAAATTGATGGGATACCAGCAGCTGTATGTGTCGTTCACAGTTACGATGATACAGCCAGAGCAAAGGTGATGTAGAAAGAATAGGCACCTATTTTTGTAAAAAGACAAGCTTTCAGATTTGTATTCCAGCTAAATGATGTGCCATCATACCCACTAAAAAGTGTGCAAAAAGGATCCTATCTGCAGCAAACAGTAACGTTAAAAATGCGAACCTCGTTCACAGCTATTCTAGCAAACCGCTGACTAAATAAGACTGTCTGAAATTGTTTGAAGCTACTTACACGTCCATTTCTTTACTGTGACCTGCACATGCAGCTGCTTTGCATTTGAAAAAGTGCTTCTCTATTATGGACAGTAATGAACATAAAACCAAGACCATCAGTTTCTGTATTTAAACAGCTTTTACCACATCCTGTTGGCAAACATCTTGATGTGTTCACTTGAGCTTACATGCACTCAATAATCCGATCATAATCGAATTTCTACAGTTATCTGATTATTCAAATGGTCGTGTAAACAGCATACTCCGATCTAGAAATCCGATAAAGAAATCCAATAAAGAGAGCTGGATTTTAGCTCAGTAATCAGATTTCTCAGTGCATGTAAACTCCTACTCTGATTTCTTTCGGATTTCTCAGTCTGAGAATGTGTGAAAACAGACGGCAGTACTGGAAATAAGCGAGCAGCGTCGCCGTGAGACGCAGCAAAACACTTTTCGAGTGACACTGAAAATGGCTACATTCTCAAGGCACTAAAGGATTTAAATAACGTTATGTTTACGTCATGTCCTCTTCTGTGAGGTTTTTGGCTGGTTGCAAAGCAGAAATCTGATTACTGTCTGACTTATGTCTCATGAGTTTCCCCATAATCTGATTACTCAAGTGCATGTAAACGCGTTGATCGGATTGCTGATAAAATCTGATTTTCTGCAGTTATCGGATTATTAAGTGCATGTAAACACACTCACTGTCCCCATTCAGTTTATTTAACAACTGCATGCTGAGGGCTCTGGAGCCTAAATGATGCTGTTTGATCTTCTGTTTCATCAGATTTGTCCAAAGTACTCCCAGTGTCTAAATCTTAATTTAGCCCCTTAAAATTCCAGGCTTATTACATACTAAGGCTTATTATTCAGCTACAGGGACTTCACTGCAAACATGCTGAGCTGTTCTTAGGTTATAGAGGTGTGTAATAAAACTTCTGGCCTGCCGGTCAGCCCAAATTAAGCAGGTTTAATGAACACTAACTCTGTATGCTCGATACTCAGGATATGACTGCAGCTTTGCAGTCCACCACATCCTTAGCTTTACTCTAGACATTTAAATTGTTCTCATTTCATCAAAAAATATAGAGAAGAACAGCAGCTTAGGGTAAGCTGACCATATAGGAGCACTTTGTAGTTCTACAGTTACAGACTGTAGTCCATCTGTTTCTCTGCATACTTTGTTAGCCCCCTTTTACCCTGTTCTTCAGTGGTCAGGACCCCCATGGACCCTCAGAGAGCAGGTACTGTCTGGGTGGTGGATCATTCTCAGCACTGTAGTGACACTGACGTGGTGGTGGTGTGTTAGTGTGTGTTGCGCTAGTATGAATTAATTTTATTTACATAGCACACTTTTCATGACAGTTTCAACGCAAGGAGCTTTACAGAAAAATAAAGCAAAGTTCATTAAAAACAAGTCTAAAAATAAGAGTCTAGATTTTTTTGAAGCAATATCCATAAAACACATTTAAAAGGAAAAATCTTAAGATTGTTCTTAAAAGATTCAGAGTTTCTAAAACAAAGCAAAATTAATTCGTGAAAACTAAAAAGTCTAAAAAGGTCTAAAAAGAAAAGTCTTAAAATTCTTCTTAAGAAAAGAGATCCAGAACTAATTAAAACAAAAAATAATTTATAAAAACACGCCTAAAAAAGGTCTTAGCATTCCTTTTAAAAAGAGATAGAGATCCACAATTTCTTAGTGATGGAGCTCCATCCAGTACCTTTGGGATGAGCTGGAGTGATACAGAACTGACCATCCAACATCAGTACCTGACCTCACTAATGCTCAATCAAATCCTCACAACAATGTTCTAACATCTAGTGTAAAGCCTTCCCAGAAGAGTAGAGGCTGTTACCGGTGTAAAGGGGGACAAACTCACTATTAATACCCTTCATTTCAGAAGAAAAGCTTGTATAAACACACAGATCACTGATTTCCAATGATTAGACCAGCTGACCCCTATAACCTCTATGGTGCTGTAAATGCCAGCAGTGCAGTGATTCAGGTGAGATTTGTGAATTAATTAGATCACAGCTGTTCAGTCAGTGTGTTGAGATTAGATTTGGCTGCATTTTTTAATCAGGAGAGAGAATGAGGTGGGCGGGACGTGTTACCCCGGGGGGCTTCTTCCTCTCCTCTTACTCTATGTGTACTTATTTATGTTTTTGTGTTTGTGTGCAGGGAAGCTGTGGACCCGCAGTCAGAAGCTGGCCTACACGCTGCTCAACAAACTCAGCTCCAGGAATGAACCTCTGCTGCGACCTGGAGACAGAGTGAGATATCCTACACACACATACACAGTCGTGTGCAAAGGTTTGGGCACCCCTGGTCAAATTGCATGTGCTGTTGATTTTCTAAGTGTGAATAAGTAAACACATCCTATACGGAGAACACTTTTCTGGGCACTTTAATGCACAGTTACTGTTTATTTACTGAATTTAACATATTGGTAAAAAAATGGCCTGTGCAAAAGTTCTGGCACATTTTATGTCCCATTATGTTAGATGCTAAATAAACCCTGTAGTAATACGCTAAAAAAAATAGTCACCTGTGACTGAAACGTACCTAATAGCATCTAATACCTCCACGAGCACAAATAACAGCTGCGTTTTGCCTGGTTTTGCCTGGACTGGACAAGGTCCAGGTTTGGCCTGGACTAGACAAGCTTCTGGATGTAGGCAACCTCAATGTTCAGCCACAGTTGCATCAAAGAATTGCGCAGTTCGGCCAGATTTCATGGATCCTTCCCTGGCGTTTTACTCGTTGTTCCAGGTCGTCCCACAGATTTTCAAGAGGATTCAAATCTGGGGATTTTGCGATCCAGTTCAGATGTGTGAACGCTCCTGAATGTTCATCATGCCAATTAGTCACATTTGCAGCCCTGTGAATGCAAGAACTGTCATACTGGAATACAGGGATAGGAATGTTATGTTGCTCAGTAAGATGATGAGCAAAAGGCAAAACCTGGTTGTCCAGCAGCTCAATGTGGGCACTGTGGTTCAAATTTACTGTCTCCTCAACCAAACGACGCATTTCCACATAATTAAAACACCCCAGAACATCACAGAGCCTCCAGCTTACACCACACCTTGCACGCTGTCCTCATTGAAGGCTTCCTGAGGTCTACGATGATCATGACACCAAACATTCACATACAGGCAGAAATGAGATTCATCTGACCAGATAACACTGTACCACCTTTTCTCAATCTATGAATCCCATCACACACCCCATAGGTATTTATAGCCTGATCATCCTCATGCCACGCCATCTGCAGGAGCCTGAAGTTACTTCCAACTTAAACACGCAAGGTGACTATATGTTTGACTAATTGGAGCTTTATAATAATCATAATACTACTACTACTAATAATAATAATAATAATAAAAACTTTATTTGTATAGTGCTTTTCCTACATTTAAAGTGCAGCTCAAAGTGCTTTACAGTGTGTAAAGACAACAGAGAAAGAAAATAAACACAAGGTATTCAAATAAAAAAAGCAAACAATGAGATGCAACAAATAAGAGCAGCGACAAAAAAGGGAACAATAACCGTAGTTATTGTAATAATTAAAAAAAGAATAAAAGTACACTAATTAAAACAATATGATAGTAATGTAAAAGTAAAACTACACTGAAAGTAAGAAAAATAAAAGCTAGTAAATGCTAAATAAAAAAAATGTTTTTAGCTGTTTTTTAAAATCAGTGATAGGAGCCTGGCAAATGTTTATTGGTAGTGTGTTCCAGATCTTTGGCTCATAAAAAGCAAAAACCTCCATAGAGGATGTGTTATCTTATTTTTACTTAGATAATCAATAAAACATGTAATTTGTCCAATCATGTTGCATATGACTGTAATTACAGTATATTATTCGCCATTTAATGCTGTTAAGTACATAAAATATTGATTAAATATTTAAAAAATGACCTTTTTGTATCTAGTTTTCAATATTTAAATCATCACGTATGTCATTATTGTGTATAAAATGACAAGATGTATTAATATGACAAGTGATTGTGAGATTTTGAGCTGTACTGTATGTCCTGTCTGATTTACGCAGGTCGCTCTCGTGTTCCCCAATAACGACCCTGTGATGTTTATGGTGGCGTTTTACGGCTGTCTCCTGGCAGAGCTGGTGCCCGTGCCCATAGAGGTGCCCCTCACACGAAAGGTACCCTACCTGACCCCAGCATGCACAGTGATATAGACAGTGAAGAGCGCTGGAGCCCTCTGCTGGCAGAGGAGGAGTACAGCACCCTGCTTGTATAAACCGTATCCTAAGATCACCTTTCGCTGTCCTCGCGGTCTGTATTAGAGCTCACAGGAGGGCAGGGATGAATTCTGCGAGAGCGATAAGCTCAGCACAATAACTCTGCTAATTTGTTCAGATATGCTGATACTGTAATAATTAGAAGTGACTGCTAGAGAAATAGAGTTTAAAGGGGCATTCCATCCATTTCTCAAAATTTCTCATTGTCCATTTTATCAGCTCCACTTACTATATAGGTGCACTTTGTAGTTCTACAGTTACAGACTGTAGTCCATCTGTTTCTCTGATACTTTGTTAGCCCCCTTTTACCCTGTTCTTCAGTGGTCAGGACCCCCATGGACCCTCACAGAGCAGGTACTATTTGGGTGGTGGATCATTCTCAGCACTGCAGTAACACTGACGTGGTGGTGGTGTGTTAGGGTGTGTTGCGCTGGTCTGCCTCAGTGTCACCGCTGGACTGAGAATAGTCCACCAACCAAACATATCCAGCCCACAGTGTCCTGTGGGCAGCGTCCTGTGACCACTGATGAAGGACTAGAGGATGACCAACACAAACTATGCTGACATACATGAGCTGCTGTCTCTGACTTTACAGCTGCAAGGTGGACCGACAAGATAGGAGTGTCTAATAGAGTGGACAGTGAGTGGACACAGTGTTTAAAAACTCCAGCAGCACTGCTGTGTCTGATCCACTCGCACCAGCACAACACACACTAACACACCACCACCACGTCAGTGTCACTGCAGTGCTGAGAATGATCCACCACCCAAATAGTACCTGCTCTGTGAGGGTCCATGGGGGTCCTGACCACTGAAGAACAGGGTAAAAGGGGGCTAACAAAGTATGCAGAGAAACAGATGGACTACAGTCTGTAACTGTAGAACTTCAAAGTGCACCTATATAGTAAGTGGAGCTGATAAAATGGACAATGAGTGTAGAAACATGGAGGTGGTCATAATTTAGTATAAAATACAGTCAGTTTCTTATATTCTTGAATCAATCATACGTATTTATTTATGTATTTAAAGTAAATACGTGTATGTATTGTTTATGTATAAATCTGTGGTCCTCTGCAGCGTTTATCCTGAATGAAACGCAGCGCGATGAATCAGCTTCTGCTTTATTTAGCAAACAATTAACAATTAATACATGAAAGAATGAAATATTCTGCTTGTGTCTGCTCTCCGGTGCAATTCTCTCAGCTTATGATGAGCATAAAAAAGAAATGTGTGTAACTTTAGGACAGCACCGGTGAGAGGTTTGGTGTGAAATGGTTGATTGTAGAGACTCTTTACAGTGGTGGTGATAGGAACCAGGGGTCGCCATGACAACAACACTAATATAGACATTTTATTTACTATCCTAAACCACCAGTGAACCTACACGAGTCTTCTGAGATTTATGTGGAATGTTGAAAATGTGGAAAATCTGAAAAAGTATGTTTTCTTTGGGAGCTACTTTGCCTTAGGCCACACTGCATATGAATGACCCTCCACCGTGAATGACTTTTAAAAGTACGTTTTAGGCCCAAAATCATCTCAAAACCATCATAAAACAGTGTGTCAGGCATCAGGCAGTGAATTCATAACCATTTCATGTAATAACTTGCTGTGAGGGAGCTCATATCCCACATTTTGTATTTTATTTTTCCCTTGAGGTGCAATAATATTTGTGTGTTATTGTGCTTTTAAGACTAATATGTGTAAATGAGCTCTGTTCTGATTCGTTGCCTCATTCAAAAACAGTCCAGGCTGAAACGCTGCTTATAACTTCAGTGTGAATGGGCGGGGCTAAACCGCTGTAGGCTGAACAGGTGTGTATGTGTTAATGAACTGTTTCTGGTGACATCACAGAAACAGTGAATACAAAACAGGCTGGTTTTGCAGTATAGTTTCCATATATGGACTGTATGGATTGAGTTAGTGGCACATTATGCACTTTAACAATGTTTACATACTGCATCAAGATCTATTATTGCAAAAAAGCATAGAAGGTTAGATTTTTCATGATACGCAACCTTTAAACTCTTCAGACGTCTGGTTCCTATTCTGATCTGTAAGTTTTTCTAGAACAGAACATTTCACACCAGACCACTCTGAATGACCTTGTTTACACCTTAACCATGTAATTACACAGAACTTTTAACGATTTTAACAAAAATGAAGCTAGTATGAATACATTTAGTATACACTGTTAGAAATAAAGGTTCTGTTCTGGTACATTTTTCGTTCATCAAGGTACAAACAGTGTAAATGTTCCCTCAAAGGTACAACAGTGGTTTTAAGGTCTGATTGTGAACCTTAAATAAGTTTTTCCAGGTGAAAAGTTTGTATTTGTACCTTTTCATAACCGAATGTTTTAAACAGAACAGTAAAATAAAGTCCTGGAGACGAGACGGGGTGTGTGGAGTCAGTACAGCTTAGAACATATCATTTCAGTGGATTATGGTTCAGTTATGTTCCCTGACTAAAGGTACTGAGATGTACCTTTGAGGGTCCCGTCACAGTGACTAGAGGGGTCCTGCCCCAGAGACAGTTTCATAGCGTTTTTTCTGAGACTATAGTAGCTTCCCTATTAAGGAATCCTCCCCCCAAATCTATTCAGGGTGGCTCCTCATTCAAATCTGTCTTAAAGACACTGTGTGTCCTTTTGTTGTGGACTTTCTGTTGACTGTGTTCATGTTCCTTGACTGTAAAGCGTCCTTGAGCATGGAAAAGGTGCTAGATAAATAAAAGTGATGATGATGTGATGACATTAGCATGGTGCTAACAGCATGTCTGGATCACACAAACCGTGTGGAGTTATTCAGTATCTATAATCATGGACAGAAGTGTATCGCATGCATGATGCTAATTGGTAGATTATAAGCTTATATGACTTGTTAGCTACGTTAGTCTTGTGGCTTCGCTGTAGAGCTAAAGAAGGAAACTTCAGACACCAAACTGCTAATTGACTATGTTTGGGGCGAGGTGGGGTGGGGGCTGTGAATTAGTTTTTTTGCTGAAGTATCACTTTAAGCCTCACACTGTGGCTTTTCAGTGTGATGTTTTACAAGTTAAACAGGCCTCTAGTCCCCTGGAGTCTCTCTCTCTCTCTCTCTCTCTCTCTCTCTCTCTCTCTCTCTCTCTCTCTCTCCCCCCCTCTCTCTCTCTCTCAGGTTGAGGAGATGACAGGAGGAGATTTTATCAGCTGGCACAGTGCCAGATCAGCTTTGGGCTGTGTGTGTGTGTGTGTGTGTGTGTGTGTTAGTAAATGAACTCTCTTACATTCAGAGCTTGTTTAAAGGAGAAACAAAGAGCACCTGAAGTCATGACCTCATCCCCCCCCTCTCTTTCTCTCCCCCTCTCTCTCCCTCTTCCTCTCCTTCTCTTTTTCTCTCCTCCTCTCTCTATCTCTCCCTACTCTTTTTCTTTCTCTTTCTCTCTCTCTTTCTCTGTCACTCTCTCCCTTTTCTCTCTCTCCTCCTCTCTCTCTCTCTCTCTCTCTCTCTCTTTCTCCCTCTTTCTCTCTCTTCTCTCTCTCTCTCTCCCTCTTCCTTCCTCTCCCTCCCTCTCTCCCTCTCTCTCTGTCACTCTCCACCCTCTCTCTCTTCCCCCTCGATCTCTCCCCACTTTCTCTCCCTCTCTCCCTCCCTCTTCCTCTCGTTCTTTCTCTCTCTCCCTCTTCCTCTCTCTCTCTCTCTTTCTCCCTCTTTCTCCCTCTCCCTCACCCCTCCCCCTGCAGGACGCTGGGAGTCAGCAGATCGGGTTTTTGCTGGGCAGCTGTGGGGTCACTCTGGCTTTGACCACAGACGCGTGTCAGAAAGGACTGCCTAAAGCTCAGACCGGAGAAGTGGCCACGTTTAAAGGTCAGTGGGACAAAATAATTCATCATGCAGAGCAGCTGGTTCATTATTCATCACTAACAACAATCAGCTCATTGCCCGCCGCTCTTTGGACTGTGGGAGGAAACCCACACAGACACAGGGAGAATATCCACACATTCCCGGCCAGGGAATCAAACCCAGGACCTTCTTGCTGTGAGGTGACAGCACTACCCACTGTATCACCGTGCCGCCCCATTTTTCAGTTAATATGATCAAATAAAAAACAGATTATTCAGCCTGAAGACCTTTGACAGGGTAACACATCCTTTTCTGTACAGTGTCTATGAGAGCCCCAGACTGAAGCTTTAGCATTAGCTAGTAAACCATTGCTAATTTAGCCTAGGTAGTTATTGTAGCCTTCACTGGTAGTTGATAATGCTTATAAAACAGTCCGATAAAGAGGTTTTATTTAGCACTGTCGTTTTTTTTCTTGATAGAAACTTATAGAGTTTTTACCAAAGCTGTTTTCATCTGTGATGTCTGAAAAAGCCTGATCAATACTCATGGCATGTCATATATAAATGTTTATATATTTGTATACCAAGCTGAAACTGCCCTATTTTTTATTTTTTCTTCCAATATCCCATCATACCCAGTTTCAAATCGGTTCCATCTCTAATTACCGGCCATTACGGACAGTATCAGTTAATGATAAGCAGCTCTTTGGCTGAGGATGTGGCTGACGTTGTTAAATATTGAAAATATGAATTATATAGTTAAGATGTAGGAGCACTGCTGTTTGATCTTACTTAGTGTGATCCCTGAACTCTGAGCTCAAAATATCAATAATTATTAGATTTTTCATATTAATTAAGTCATTGCCATCATCTAAACTGTGTGTGTGTGTGTGTGTGTGTGTGTGTGTGTGTGTATACAGGCTGGCCGCGGTTGCTGTGGTTTGTTACTGATGGGAAGCATGTGGTTAAACCTCCTAAAGACTGGAGTCCTCCGATCAGAGACGCCAGCAATGAGACGGCTTATATAGAGGTCAGTACTAAACCTGCACTGTCACAGTAAAGAGGAGTGAAAAAAGAGCTATGAAGCACATTTATAGGTTCAGCCTGGTTGTCATACACTCACTCTCTCTCTCTCTCTCTCTCTCTCTCTCTCTCTCTCTCTCTCTCTCTCTCTCTCTCTCCCTCTCTCTGCAGTATAAGACCAGTAAGGAGGGCAGCACTATGGGCATCACCGTCTCTCACGCTGCCATGTTGGCTCACTGCCACGCACTCACACAGGCGTGTGGATACACCGAGGGTAAGTGTGTGTTTGTGAGGCTGAATGCAATCAAATCCTCACAGCAATGTTCCAGCGTCTGGAGGAATGGCGCGATCAAGCAGTAATGTAGAAAGTCTTTATTGATGATTGAAGCCTGATTATTTGGTGTTTCCTTGAAAGCACATCCCTGAGGCTTTGTTCCCACAGCAGGTAAAAGTGGCCCAAATCTGATCTTTTTCTCCGTATGTGACACAGATGTGTGTCTGTGTTTCAGTGTGAACAGATAAACACACTGAATCTGACATTTTCAATTCTGATTTGAGACGCTTTCATATGTGGTACTGAAATCTGATACGTGTCCGATCTGCGGCAGTGTGACTCAGTCTGAACAGCCAGATTGGAATTCATGCCACTTTTACCTCAATCCAACTCGACACTCATCATCATTTCGTGCTGCTGAGACTCAATAATAAACATTTAGGTTGATGTTTCTGTATAAAAAAGTAGAAGAGACTCATCCAAAACCCTCCACTTTGAAGAGATTTCGAAAGAAATGTCCGAACGCGGCCACAGGAGAACGAGGCGCAGCGTCAAAGAACAGCTAAAAGTTTGAAAGCAAAATTTAAAGAATCCGAGGACGCGAACCAAATATATATATATTTCACTGTTGTCAGAACAAGCTGGGATAGGCTCCAGCACCCCACCACGACCCAGAAGGATAAGCGGTTTAGATGATGTATGTATGTATGTATGTTGTCAGAACAAAATTTCATATCTCATCACTGTCCAAGGAAAAACAGTGTTTTTAAACACCTCAGTGTCACTGTCACTGCCACAGTCCAAAATAGTAAGTTTACAGAAGAGGGCAAAATGCTCTTTACTTTCAATGTAAGTTCATGGAAAGACATTTTATTTCAAGCAGTATTGAAAATTTTACATAATGTAAAGAACATCTACTGTGCTCCACTGATGTACAAAAATTGATATATATATATATATATATATATATATATATATATATACATATATATATATATATACATATATATAGCCTGACTATATATAATATTTTAATATTGTAACTAGAGGGACTGTTTTCATTGTAGTGCAATACAATGTATATTTAAAAAATACAATGTATATTTAAAAAACAATATATATATATATAATATATATATACAAAAATGTTTTAATAAAGTTTATAATACAATATAAATAAAAACATTGTTGCTGTCCAAAGATTGATTAATTACATTGAAGTGTTAATGTAAAGTGGTCTTACTCTAAGCAGATTTGGACATTTCTATTGGTCCGTTCATCATGAAATTGTCATACAATATAAAGATCAGCTGCTGAGCTCAAATGTTGAAAACTAAGAATTGTAAAAATGGAGATGCTTGTTGTGTGTGTGTGTGTATGTGTATGTATATATATATATATATATATATATATATCAACCATTATTGCTAAACCTGAAAAGAAGTATCACAGTGTCAATAATCAGTATCACAATATGCCGTATGTATATATATCATGTAGTCCTATTTGTGATGTACAACACACATGATAGAACACTGTATTCAAGCTTTATATGGTCTTTATAAAGACTCTATACACTCTTGTATAGTTTAGTAAAAAGTCTTCTTTCTTTGATCTAATGTGTTTCACGTTGTTCAGTGTGCATGATCCACTTTCTCTGTCTCTCTCTCTGTCTCTCTCTCTCTGAAGGTGAGACCATCACCAATGTTCTGGACTTTAAGCGGGATGCAGGTCTTTGGCACGGCGTTCTCACAGTGAGTTCAGTTCACAGTGCGCTCCACATAGTGCTAAGTAGGGGGAACATCTATTGGTAAATACACAGTTCCCATCCACTTTATCAGAAACCCCTCTCTGGTAGCTCCATCCTGCAGGTGTACAGTTAGAGACTGTAGCCCATCTGTTGATGAGCCCTTTGTGTTAGTGTCCTTTAACTCTGGGTTTCCGAGTCCTGATCTCCCGCCTCTGTGCGCAGTTTTGTGGTTTCCTCATAATAAAAATAATAAAGTGGCCAGTGAGTGGAAGTACAAGGCAAGTGTTTCTAATAAAGTGGCCAGTGAGTGGAAGTATAAGGTAGGTGTTTCTAATAAAGTGGCCAGTGAGTGGAAGTACAAGGCAAGTGTTTCTAATAAAGTGGCCAGTGAGTGGAAGTATAAGGTAGGTGTTTCTAATAAAGTGGCCAGTGAGTGGAAGTACAAGGCAAGTGTTTCTAATAAAGTGGCCCATGAGTGGAAGTACAATGTGGGTGTTTCTAGTAAAGTGGCCAGTGAGTGCAGGCACAAGTTGGGTGTTCCTTATAAAGTGTGGGTAACCCGTGTGATGGTGACCATGACAACACTAACCATGGGCATATGGTTTCAGAGTGTGATGAACCGGATGCATGTGATCAGCATCCCGTACTCACTGATGAAGGTCAACCCGCTGTCCTGGATACAGAAGGTTCACAGCTACAAAGGTGAGACATGGGTGCTTCGTGGCCTGTGGAGTAAATGCTAATAGTGCTAATAGTGTTGATGTTTCTTCAGCAGCTCTCCTAGCTTGATTGCTAACTCACAGCTGAATGCTGGGACAGTGCACTAATCTAGAAGGAAATTCCACAGATTTCTTCAGTTCTGCATAACTCAGTGTGTGAGATGTAAACAGAGTGGTTTGGTGTGAAATGGTTGATTGTAGAGACTTAGATTTCTCTACGGTGGTGATGGGAACCAGGGGTCGCCATGACTACAACACAAATATAGACATTTTATCTCAAACAACATTTTATCTCAAAACTTTCGTACACAGTGTGTTTTACTGGAGTAATGTTGTTGTGGTGTTGTTATTGTTCAGCCCGCGTTGCTGTGGTGAAGTCCAGAGACATGCACTGGTCTCTACTGTCTCAGAAAGATCAGAGGGACATCAGCCTCAGCTCATTACGCATGCTGATAGTGGCTGATGGAGCCAATCCCTGTGAGTACACACACACACACTCACTCACACACACACACACACACACACTCACTCACACACACACACACACACTCACACACTCACGCACACACACACACACTCACTCACTCACACACACACACACACTCACTCACACACACTGCAGAGGTGTAAATAATGATTTGATAATGTTTTTTTAGGACATGATTCAGTGCATCATGAAATCTCAAACTTCACCATGATTCAGTTTCATTTGACCTAAAAATGTTAGTAATTCTTTTGAAAATAATTTTGAATAATTTAAGAAGTTATTTTAAATGTTTTAATAAGCGCACAAATGATGTAACTGGAGGAACTATTTTTAAAAATTGTTTCAGCCAAAAATTGAGCATAAACATTATAATATAATATCAATACAATTGTCACTGTCCTAAGACAGAAAAGTGTCTCCAGACGTTTACAGTAGAGGGCAAAAGCATTCTAAACTGTTAATGTAAGTTAGTGTAAAGAGGTCTTACTCTAAGCAGTTTTGGAGCGTTTCTATTGGTCCATTCATCATGAAATTGTCATACGATGTAAAGAACAGAAGAGCTCAAATGATGTAGAAAACTAAGAATTGCAAAAAAAGGTATAGTTTTTTGGGGGCAGCAATGATATATAATGATATATAATAGATATATAATATATAATAATAATAACATAATAATGTAATATAATCTGTAATTTTCATATACACACACATTTACATTTACATTTGTACCAGCTCTAGCTAAATATGCATCATCTACTGTCTCTTTTAGATGCCCATAAAAAAAAAACTATATAATAGTGTTTAAAAGTTTGTAATCACTGTTTTCATAAATTTTTTATTAAATTTGCACAGACAAATGGCTTTTTAAAATGTAATTTAACGATCAGGTGCCTAAAATTTTGCACCATGCTGTATACCTAAGATTGCCATTCTGAAGTATGAAGTGTGTGTGTGTGTGTGTGTGTGTGTGTGTGTGTGTGTGTGTGTGTGTGTGTGTGTATAGGGTCGATCTCCTCCTGCGATGCCTTCCTGAATGTGTTTCAGGCGCGAGGTTTGAGGCCAGAAGTCATCTGCCCCTGTGCCAGTTCAGCCGAGGCCCTGACCGTCGCCATCCGCAGGTAAACGCACGCTACTGTTAGACGAGCTTTACAGAACGCTTGGAGAAAATCCCATTCAGCCTAATGAGAAACTGTAGAACAGACTCGGTTTATATCACAATACCTACATTTAGAGTCGGTTATTCATTCAGCCTAATGAGAAACTGTAGAACAGACTCAGTTTATATCACAATACCTACATTTAGAGTCGGTTATTCATTCAGCCTAATGAGAAACTGTAGAACAGACTCAGTTTATATCACAATACCTGCATTTAGAGTCGGTTATTCATTCAGCCTAATGAGAAACTGTAGAACAGACTTTTTTTTGCATGAGGGTCTGTAGACTTTAACATACATGTCAGTGTGTGGTTTGTTTGTGTGTCTGTGTGTGCGTGTTCAGGCCTCCAGAGATGGGTGTTCCTCCTCCGGGTAAAGCAGTGCTGTCCATGAGCAGTCTGAGTTACGGAGTGATCAGAGTGGACACAGAGGAGAAACTCTCAGTGCTCACACTGCAGGACGTAGGACAGGTCATGCCTGGAGGTCAGTCTGTTATTTTGGTACTTTTACTTTAACTAAATACACAAATAATTGAATAGGATGGGGAGGCAGTAAGTTAGTAATAAAATATCTCTGTTAGTTTCAGTGAGAAAATGTAAACATGCCTTTTTCATCAGCTACAATAACTGTGATTCTAAAGGCTGAGGTACTGAAGATTTTTTGAAATATAATAACACTCTTGTGACAGTGGTACGATGTTGTGTGTCTGTGCAGCGTTGGTGTGTGTGGTGCGTCCGGAGGGCACCCCGTACCTGTGTCGGACTGATGAGGTGGGAGAAATCTGTGTGAGCTCCTGCACCACGGGCGTCTCCTACTACGGCCTGCCGGGAATGACCAAAAACGTGTTTGAGGTGAAACAAGAGGGATTTACACAAAAATACAGAATCACTGTTTAAAAGTACTGAATCGCTGTTCAAAAGTACTGAATTACTGTTTAAAAGTACTGAATCATTGTTCAAAAGTTCTGAATCACTTTACAAAAGTACTGAATCACTGTTTAAAGGTACTGAATGACTGTTTAAAAGTACTGAATTGCTGTTCAAAAGTACTGAATCGCTGTTCAAAAGTACTGAATCACTTTACAAAAGTACTGAATTACTGTTCAAAAGTACTCAATGACTGTTTAAAAGTACTGAATCGCTGTTCAAAAGTACAGAATCACTGTTCCAAAGTACAGAATCACTGTTCCAAAGTACAGAATCACTGTTCCAAGTACTGAATCATTGTTTAAAGGTACTGTATTACTGTTCAAAAGTACTGACTGTTCAGAAATGCAGAATCACTTTTTAAAAGTACAGAATCACTGTTTAAAAGTACTGAATATTCTACAGAATAACAGCGATTCTCTGCTTTTGAACAGTGTGTGTTTACTATCTGAGAGGGGACATTTGAGTCATTTTGATCCAACAGATGGAGTGGAGGTGTTGATGGTGGGGAAAAAATATATAAATAAAAATAAATAAATAAATAAAAATGCTTGTGGCTCTTTTCTCCAGTAACCAGTGTGTGTGTGAAAAATGAAAGCGAGTACAGCGTGTAGAACGTGTGCCGTCAGTGTGTGACGGTGTGTGACGTGGCCTCTTTCTCCTCTTTGTAGACAATCCCAGTGACGGCGTCTGGCTCTCCAGTCAGCGACCGACCCTTCACTCGCTCATCTCTGCTGGGCTTCATCGGGCCGGTCAGTTCACACCAGCTGTTCGATTTTTTTCTGTAAACGTAAAGCTGAATGTCCCCTTTGAGTTGTTTTGTTAAATATCAAATTTACCTCAAATGTAGTCGATCAGCCAAGATAAATTCAGGCTGCATTGTGTCCTTATGTTTCGTATCTTGGCTTGTTGACTATATATGTGGTCAGGGGAAATCTGTGTAAATGTGTTTGGATATAATCTGACCAGCTTAATGACTTTATCTTCAGGTCACTGCTGTGTGGTTCAGTAATCTGTTCTTTTGCCATGTTGTTGTGTCATTTCCAGGACAACCTGCTGTTTGTGGTGGGGAAGATGGACGGACTGATGGTGGTCAGTGGACGGAGACACAACGCTGATGATGTGGTTGCCACGGCGCTGGCAGTGGAGCCAATGAAGTTTGTGTACAGAGGAAGGTGAGGGATACAGCCACTGCCGTAAATGCTGATTTGTTTCTTACACACTGCATCCCATAAAGTCTTCATCTTTAGCCTTGGAATAAACAGCAATGTCAGTGATTTTTCACCATAAAAAGGCTTGTTCTAGGTGTGGGAACCAGCCTTTGTGAGAACCTGCTGGTGTGGGTTTCTTCTATTTCAATGCACACAAAAGCTACTTGAGTCTTATACCTTTTACAGAGTCTTCTGTCTGCTAAACAGTAGGTGGGTGGATGGATGGGGGGATGAATAGAATGAGGGATGAATGGAGGGCTGGATGGATGAACAGAGGAAGGAATAGATGGATAGGGGATGGATTAATGGATGGCAGAAAAAATGGACAGTGGGATGAGTGGAGGGATTGATGGAGGGAGGGATGGATGGATGGATGAATAGAGTGATGAATATATACATGGATGAATGGATTCCAGGTCCATTAGGCCTCTAAAATAATTTTCTTTGCTTCTTTCTTCATCTCACTTAACTGAATGTCCCCCATTATGGGGAATTATAGTAACAGGTCAGTGTTTCTGTGTCCAGAAACTTGAATTAGAAAGAAGGGAAGGAAAGAAGCGGAATAGTGATAGATTTGTGTGTTCCAGGATTGCAGTGTTCTCCGTGTGCGTGCTCCATGATGAGCGGATTGTGGTGGTGGCGGAGCAGCGGCCTGACGCTTCGGAGGAGGACAGCTTCCAGTGGATGAGCCGAGTATTGCAGGTACTACATACTGAAACTTTTTTGGCCCCAAAGTGGTTTAAACACAAAAGAGATTTCAGTGCTTTTCAGATGTCGCAGCAAGGGCTGACAGTACCTTAGGAATGTGTGGCGTTTGGCTTTATTCACAAAGCAGTTACTGTCACTATTACTGTCACTAATGTGATATATCTATAGTTATACAACAGTTAGTTCTGGCCACGCAAGCTGATTGGTCGAGAAGCGTTCTAACCGTGCTGTTATTAAGACATTTGAACGTTTTTACTTCTTACTTTGCCACAAACAGAAAATGGACACTTAAGATCACATTTGACCTCCAGCCGATTTGGTCAGACTCTGAAGATGAGACGACACTAAATTCCCAAACCGTCGTCACCACTGAGCAGCTTTTCAGTCGGCAGCTGTGACAGAAGAACAGCTTAACAACCTGGAATCAGCCAGAAATGAACCCAACACCATTCGCCAAACTAAATGGGCTGTAAGATGCTTTACAGACTGGCTGGAACAAAACAACATTAATACTGATCTGGCAAAAACTGACAAAACTGAGCTAAACTTGGTATTGCGTCAGTTTTATGGCTCAGTCTGATTTGGTCAGACTCTGAAGATCAGACTACACGTTTGGTAAATGGTGTTGGGTTCATTTCTGGCTGATTCCAGGTTGTTTAGGTTCTTCTGTCTCAGCTGCCGACTGAAAAGCTGCTCAGTGGTGATGACAGTTTGGGAATTTAGTGTAAGGATCTGGAGAACGAACTGCCGGCTGTGCAGCGAGTGGGTGGAGCTCGTTACTCTGACGTAGCAACAAGCTGCTCGTTAAGGAACTATAATTTGGTGAAGGAACTGCGAACATTAAAGCATATTAAACGCCGCGTTCACGGCCCAGTTTATTAATTTATTACTTTATTTATTTAACTGTTGTATTAAAGCAGAACAATCGAGGAGTGTGTTATCACCAGTAACATCATCATGATGTTATTTTGCGATAACACACTCCCTCTAGCGTTCTGTTGCTTAAATAAACCTGCATAGGCTTCAAAATGCTAAGGTATTGGAAAATGACAAAGAAAACTTAGAACAAAATTTAGAGCATGTTGAAGTGAGGTGGCCTATATGCACACATACGCGTATATACACATGCAAACTCCTGCTCTGCTGTATGTCCTGCTGTAGTTTGTCAATGAGCCTCTGCTCTGTCTCTCCTCCAGGCTATAGACAGCATCCATCAGGTGGGAGTTTACTGCCTGGCTTTAGTTCCTGCTAACACTCTCCCCAAAGCTCCTCTGGGGGGGATCCACATCTCTGAAACCAAACAGCGCTTCCTGGAGGGGGCGCTGCACCCCTGCAACGTGCTCATGTGCCCTCACACCTGCGTCACCAACCTGCCCAAACCTCGCCAGAAACAGCCAGGTACTCCCTGCACTGAGTATCCCAACGAGAAAATATTCTATATCTGTATGAAATAAAAACATGGAAGGTTTAAATTAATGCTGCTAGCAGACGACCTGATCCACTGTACGTTTGATTGAGTTTTAGGCTGATTTATCTTTGTGTTTTAGGTTTATTTAGTGAACTGACTTTGTGTTTTAGACTAATTTAGCTATTAAGATTTGAGTTTTAGGGGTATTTAGTAAATTATCTTTGTGTTTTAGCCCAGTGTAGCTATTAGTATTAGTGTTTTAGTTTGATTTAGTGTTTTATCTTTGTGTTTTAGGTTGATTTAGTGTTTTATCTTTGTGTTGTAGGTTGATTTAGTGATTTATCTTTGTGTTTTAGGTTGATTTAGTTATGTATATTTGTGTTTTAGACAGATTGACTGTTTTTTCTTTGTGTTTTAGGTTGATTTAGTGATTTATCTGTGTTTTAGACAAATTTAGGTATTACTATTTGTGTTTTCGGGTGATTTAGTGATTTATCTTTGTGTTTTAGATTGATTTAGTGATTTATCTTTGTGCTTTATCTTGATTTAGTGATTTATCTTTGTGTTTTAGGATGATTTAGTGATTTATCTTTGTGTTTTCGGCTGATTTAGTGATTTATCTTTGTGTTTTCGGCTGATTTAGTGACTTCCCTTTGTGGTTTAAGCGTGATTGTAGTGTGATTTAACACACCAAAAGTTTACAGAACAATATCTCACACAAGTTTACGGTGTACAAACTTGTCTTCTTCTAGTTAGAGATAGTTCCATATACTGCTGTGCTTGAACGTTTTCTCTCCATTAACACACCTGCCTCTCTCTCCCAGAGGTGGGGCCTGCCTCCATGATCGTGGGGAACCTGGTGGCGGGGAAGCGAATTGCTCAGGCGTGTGGGAGAGACGTCGCTCAGCTGGAGGATAATGATCAGGCACGTAAGGTACATGCTCATACTCATTTCACTCCCGCCAGCTGTGGAGAGCTCAGGAAGGTAAAGCACAAACTCACCCTGTCTCACACTTTTTCACCCCTATCACCCTGCATTGCGATTGTAGAGCATTTGAGCTGCTTTGTGCATGAAAAGTGCTCAATAAATATTATTATTGTTATTATACATCGAGTTAGCAGTTTATTAGGTACCTTGTAGCCAAATGACAAGGTACCTAAATGAATAGCTAGCTACACTGTAGCTAGCAGAATACATGGATGGTGGGATGGGTGATGGATAAATGGCCCTTCATTCCTTTATTCCTCGATTGTGAAGCACTTTTGGCTGCTTTGTGTATGAAAAGTGCTCAATAATTTATTATGAATAATTTTTTACACTAATTTAGCAGTTTATTCTGTGCCTTATAGCTAAATGTATTGGCCAGTTTTTCAGAAACACCTATCATACAGGTGTCCTTTGTAGGTTTACAGTTATCATCCCCCTCTACCCTATCCTGTCAGTGATAAAGGACCACCAGAGGACCACCACACGACCACCATCGACCAGATATTATTTGGTTGGTGGTTCGTTCTAAGCAAAGCAGTGACCCTGACATGCCAGTATGTGTGACACTGGTACAAATGTATCAGGCACAACAGCATTACTGGGAAAAAGCTTCTCCAAGTCAATGTAGAGACTCATCCACAATTACAAAGAGCACCTATAGGGGGCAGCACTAGCCAAGCTGGTGATGAGTGTCTTTCTTCTGCAGCAAATTCCTCTTCTCTCTCTTTTTGTTTATCATTCCATTGCTTTAGACCTTATTGTTGTTAAATATTACTGTTAGGTTATATCACCTTAATCTATCTGTATTGCCAACATAAAGATCAAATATCCATATATGCAAATATATTGATAAACATACACCTTTGAATGAGGCGTATTTACTATTTTAACAGCACAGAACTTTTTGTACAACTTACAGAAACAGGTTAGGAGCCCCAGCTGGCATTGCAGTCGCGAGCTTAAGACAAATAGGCTACGTTCACATTACCAGGTTGAAGTGGCACAAATCTGATATTTAACCCTAATGTGACTCAGATCTGATGTTTTCAGAGCTGTGTGGACACAAATCTGATCTTTTCAAATCCGACCTGAGCCACTTTCATATGTAGTCCTAGATCAGATACATATCCGATTTGTGACCATGCGACCTTAATGTGACGCTCAGATTGGAATTCATTTGCTTTTTTTCCGCTGCGCGTGACCATCATTCAGCGTTACCATGGCAGCAGCGCCGAACTGAAGTTAAGCCTCTAAATGGTGGAAAAGCAGCTCATCTCACCTTTTTCTCCTTCGTCTCGCTCTAATAATGAAGCTGAGAGCTGATCAGAGTTAATTATCTTCTCAGCGAAGCTCGTTCTGCTCGTTAGTTTGTGCTGATGATGAACGTGATTCATTCACGTGACGTTACTGATCTGAGTAAAAAATCGGATTTGAGCAACGAGGCTTGTAATTCGAACATAACCGTGATGACAGTTTGACTGTTAAAATCTCCAGAACGTTCTTCATCACTTCATGTTGCCACCAGTCACTCAGTGTCTGTGTTTACATGCAAAGATTTGATTGAATACATTCCAATTATAGATTAAGACTGAGGTGTTTATTCTCACTCTACTCAACAATCTGATGGAAAATCTCCGTTTACCTGCTCACTACAAGTAATCTGATCCAAAATTACATGCATGCGTAGAGAACCACATATTGAAGACGTTACCATGACAACAAGCATCACGTGAGTCCAGTCAGAGTGAGACGAGCAGCAGTGAGCAGCGCTTGTGTTTTTAATAGCTTTAAAATGATGTCAGACTCAGGAAAACGTCCTTCACATGTCCTTATTAAAGAAGGCCGAGAGGAAGACGTCGTGTTCTGAGACTCATAAACTGGACGTCCGTCCCACCGCCGTCTTTTAAAGATCAGAGCATGAACTTCGTCTCCTCTGCAGACCAGTTTCTGCTCCGCCATGTTGAACGGTAACTTTCACTATGACACGACGAACATGATCAGAACGGACTTAAACAGGACTGTAATCAGATACAGGCGTTTACACGGATATTATTCTTCTATTTAACCGATTATTTACAGGATTACCCACCTCGTTCAATCGGATAGAAATTGTATTCCAAATGGCCTCAATTGGTTTAATCTCTTCTGACTGATGTGTATTCATAGACGTATTCTATTCCGATTGAGCTATTAGTCGGATTATTAACGGATTATCAGGCTGCATGTCAACATGGCTGGTGTCACCTCTTATTTCACCCTATAATAACTATCCACCAACTCTGTATGGCTCAGCATCACCTGCTTTACCACAGATCACTTACATCACTCTCTAACACCGTATCACTTCATCTCCATCTGTGAAGTTTAAGATAAGCAGCTTCAATCTGTTTGAATGTAAGCATGCTAACATGCTAACTGTAAGTGTTGTGTGTTCCTACAGTTTCTGTACATGCAGGACGTTCTTCAGTGGAGAGCGCAGGCCACGCCTGATCACCCTCTCTTCCTGCTGCTCAACGCTAAGGTACAGTAGCACCCAGAATACGTGACTAAAGGCTGTGTTAGCTGAATGAACGTGTCACTGTCTGTTACGTCCGAGTCACACGGCGAGTAGCTCAGTATTTTTACGGTTGTCAGGAGAACTCAAATACATTGTTATTGCCATTTTGCAGTGGGTGTCATCTGCCCTCTACAAGACAGACTGGGTTCAATTCCCTGCCCAGGCAGCTACACCACACTGGAGCTGTGTGATGTGGTGAAAATATAATATCACAACATTTCAAGAAGTTTTTAAGATTCATGATATCATATTTCTGAAAAAATCTGAAAATTTAGAACAGACAAAGTAGAGCCACATTTGAAAAAATTCTCTCAGAAACTATAAATACAGTTATTTGTGCTTCACACGTCGCACACAGCACTAAATCCAGTTAAACAGAAGTATTTATGCTCTCTTTGTTGTCAAACATGCGATTTAATAAATAATGATATCCACGATGTGCTCAAAAAAGTGTTTTGTGACATATTGCAACATAATGTATCACAATAACAATAAATATTGTCATATTGTCCAGCTCTCCACCAACACACCAAGGATTTAAAAAAAATGTGATTACTTGGCAATTTGTATATTTTGAATTATCCAATTGGTCTTTCTTACCGTAAGAACTTTAGAGTTTATATATATAAAAAAAGTTGATCGCTGTTGTCGGATCAAAACCTCCTATCTCCAAAATGGTAACTTTACAGGAGAAGGAAAAAACCTACTTTACTTTTAATGTAAGTCAATGGAACCAGACTTCTTTTAATTTTGTGCCATTTCTTTTGGTCCATTCATCAGGAAATTTACACAATCCTTCAGTCCTTCATTTACACAACGCCTTTCAGTGTAGTTTAGTCAGAGATGTAAAGGACAACAGATGTGTGTGTGTAGAGAGAGAGAGACCATTAGAAGTCTACATGATTATGAAGTCTTTTAAATGCTAATTGTGTCATTTTCCACTAAGCTTTTTTAGAATCTTTCAAAGCCTCTGCATGGTTTGTTTTAAGTCCATTTTTATTGTTTTTAACAACTCGGTTACTTATCAAAATATAGAATATAAATGTAGATTATTCAGTGAAGATATTATCGATTGTGGCTGCCGTCATTAGTATTAGTTGATCTGTTGGAGGATTTTCTTTTGATCCAGTCTTTACAGCAAAGTGGGGGGATTTTCGTTCTATCTGTCCTTAATTTCTGTGGAGAAAAGTTTAGCCTTTATGCAAATGAGAAGGGAGCTTTGCCGGGCGGCAGCCAATCACGTTGTTAATGTGCTGTGACGCATTACATCATGTGTCAAACTACACGCTGAAGTAAGTGCTGATGGAAGATGGGGGAGAAAATAGTGGGAGATTTTTACATTAGTTCACTTTTTAACAAGAGCATTAGATCTTTTCTGAGTTGCGTCAGAGCTCAGAGCTCAGCTAGAGCTAAACTTGGTTGTATCTTAGTGACACGTGTGACGTGTGACGTGTGTGTGTGTGTGTGTGTGTGTGTGTGTGTGTGTGTTGTAGGGTACTGTGGCCAGCACTGCGTCCTGTGTGCAGCTCCATAAGCGTGCAGAGCGGGTGGCTGTGGCTCTAATGGAGAGAGGCAGACTCAACACAGGAGATCACGTAGCACTCGTCTACCCACCAGGTAAGAACAATATAAGAGTCTTAGAACAATATAACACTACTACTACTAATACTACTACTACTAATAATAATAATAATAATAATAGTAATGATGATGATGAGAAGAAGAAGAAGAATACAATGTGCTTTACAGTTATTAAAATGACATGTTCATATATAAAACATGAGGGATAAAATGTTACATAAGAAAAATAATTGATGAATTAAAGACTAGAGAGACTTCAAAAGGATAAAAGTGGCCGATGACTCAAAGATCCACAAATTAAACAGAAAATCCCTTCAACTCAGAAGCTCATACTGCAATACTGTGTAGGTTTAATTACAGCAGTAAAACTGCAGGTGTAATTTACAGTAACTGGAGGCCGAACGTTACAGTGATTTAACCAGTTACACAGTAAATGACTGTAGCCTGCCGCGAGTGGCTCACCGCTCCTATAAAACAGTGACAAAACACAGTGTACAGTAAGATAAAATACATGACTGTTTAAGAAATATTTTTTCTTTAATTATAACAATTGCACTAAACAATTCTTCCACAAAGCAGTGTAGCTCATTAACAGTAGGCTGTGGTTACCAAGCAACATAACTGTCAAAAATGATTTCACCAACAGTTAATGGTTTTTTATAACTTGGTACATTAACACAGAATTGTCATCGTAGTTGATTTACATGACATACATGTTTATCTTTAATGAAATAATTACATAGTTACGTAATTAATTACATTTACATTTGATTTACATTCTGTATGGATAGATTTGAGTCTGGTCTTCTTATTTTTTTGGTTGTTTTAATGTCAAAACATATATTAAAAATATATATATAAACAATAAAAATACACAAAACAAGACTTTGCACACAATAACTTTTTATCAAATTCAAATCATAATAAAATATTTCCTCTCCTACTTACAAACACAAATGTAGTGTGGACTGAAAATCTGCACTTTACACACAATTTTTCATTGATCTTGTAAAATGCATTAAAAGAATGCGCCAATAAAAATCATCCAGAATTACTAGGAAAATAATCAACATTAACTTACATTAAATTTGAAACTATAAAAGTCATATTTATGCATATATTTTGCAGATATTTTATATATTTCTGTGTCTTTCTGGGTTGCAGGTATTGATCTGATTGCTACGTTCTACGGCTGTCTGTATGCGGGCTGTGTTCCAGTCACGGTCAGACCCCCCCACCCTCAGAACCTGGCCACAACGCTGCCCACTGTCAAAATGATTGTTGAGGTAAACTCATCTGAAAAGTGATATCATTAGAAGTTAAAATAAATAAATATAGGCAATAAATAAATATTTCTGATCATGATCTCAATTAACTTGTCAGTATAAATGACTAATTATAAAAGATAATACACACAAAACCAGCTGCTGATAGCTGCACTTCAGGAAAACATGTGGAATATGTAATCAGCCACAATTCTGATATATCCGCTAATTTTCAGTGAGGTCCATCCTCAAAAGCATATGCCTGTGCACTGGGCACTCGGGCTTGTGGTCCAGTTCTGCACGTCACACAGTCAGAATGCGCCTGTTTTGTGTCTGAAACCAGCGCAGAGACTCAGGCCCTCTGTGTTTACTGTGAACTGTGCTGTGAGGTGAGTGTAGCTGTTTTGTTGGTCATTAAGTCTGTGTTGTCATGTATGTGTGTGTTTTGTAGGTCAGTAAGTCGGTCTGTATTCTGACCACACAAGCAATAATGAAGCTCCTGAGATCCAAAGAGGCAGCAGCAGCCGTGGATGTGAAAACATGGCCGATGGTACTAGACACAGGTACAGAGACTTAAATACATACACCCAACTAACTACCACCTAACTACCAGCTAATTACCACACTCTCAATCTAACTACCAAACTCCCAACTAACTGCCACACTCTCAATCTAACTGCCACACTCCCAATCTAACTACCACACTCCCAATCTAACTACCACACTCTCAATCTAACTACCATACTCCCAATCTAACTACCAAATCCCCAATCTAACCACTACACTCCCAACTAACTACCACATTTTCAATCTAACTACCACACTCTCAATCTAACTACCACACTCCCAATCTAACTACCGAACTCCCAATCTAACTACCACACTCCCAATCTAACTACCAAATCCCCAATCTAACTACCACACTCTCCATCTAACTACCACACCCCCAATCTAACTACCACATTCTCAATCTAACTACCAAACTCCCAATCTATCTACCAAATTCCCAACTAACTACCACATTCTCAATCTAACTACCACACTCCCAATCTAACTACCAAACTCCCAACTAACTACCACATTTTCAATCTAACTACCACACTCTCAATCTAACTACCACACTCTCAATCTAACTACCATGCCCCAACTAACTATCACCATCTTGTAATTTAATCTCCTTTCTTTAATTTTAGATGATCTGCCCAGGAAGAAGCTTCCACAGATCTACAAACCACCCACTCCAGAGATGCTCGCCTACCTGGACTTCAGTGTGTCCACCACGGGCATCCTCGCTGGGGTGAAGGTATCGGATATGGACTCATTAGGCAGGAATGTTCAGCTTTGTTAGATCTGTTTTTTTACATTCATAATAAATGGAACAACAGCGCTGAGACATCACAGTGTTACTGGAGAAGAGAGGATCTAACAGCATCAGCCTTCATTCACACTGTACAAATGTGGTGAATACGTAATGAATCGAGGCTAATATAGTGTCTGTGGTGTGTAAGGTAGCGTGTGTGGTGAGCTGGGTACTGTAGTTCTGAGTAGGGAGCTGTATGGTACTGTAGATGGGACTAGGAAGATATTGGGTATTGTGAGTGGTGAGTAGGTTACTGTAGATGCTGAATACAGCACTGCATGTGGTGAATAGATGTAGGTCTCTATAAACCTGCCTGTTTCTGTCTCTCTCAGATGTCCCATGCTGCAACCAGTGCCTTGTGTCGCTCCATAAAGCTGCAGTGTGAGCTTTACCCCTCGAGACAGATCGCCATCTGCCTGGACCCTTACTGTGGCCTGGGCTTCGCTCTCTGGTGCCTCTGCAGGTCAGGATCACCTCAAACACTCACACAAACACTCTCGACATCAACACTTGGAAATCACACCCATTAGTCATCAACAGTCGTCCAGACATATCCAGACAACCGTTCTAATGGTTTAATCCAGCTTCTTTAAGGTCACCCACTGCTGACACAGGTGCTCAGTTGTACACATACAGCTTGCATAATCTCCATACAAAAGGTCTGACTGATAGAATGGGACACACTGGAGTAGCTGCACATGAGCCTAAGGTCACCATGCCCAATGCCAAGCATGGGTTAGAGGTAGAGCTGAAAGATGAAACTACAATTAAATGAAGTGCAAAGAATCAAATCACAAGAGCTGCAGCTGTAAATGTAGCCTACATTATCAACAAAGTTATCCAAACAGTTCTTAAGTGGAGAAATTTAACCTTATAAAACAGAGATGGTGAACCGCCTGTAGAAGAATTAGACCAATCAGAAGCAACTGAACACCTACACTGTTAGAAATGAAGGTTCTGTTCAGGTACATTTTTTGCTTATCAAGGTACAAACAGGGTAATGTTCCCTCAAAGGTACAACAGTGGTTTTAGGATCCAGCTGTGAACCTTAAATAAGTTTTTCCAGGTGAAAAGTTCGTATTTGTACCTTTTCATAACCAAATGTTTTAAAACAGAGACGAGACGGGGTGTGTGGAGTCAGTACAGCTTAGAACATATCGTTTTAATGGATTATGGTATATTATGGTTGTACATGACATTAGTTTGGGGCATCTGTGGGATGGAGACCACCAGTGGGCCACGAAGCACCCTCTAGTGGTCCGCAGGCCTGTACTCAGGGTGAGGCAGTAGTTCGTAGTGGGCTGGTAAAGGCACTTTGTCATATAAACATAAGTGGACAAAAGATTAACTTAGGCCTAATAATTAAACATTTCCAAATTATGACCACTATAAATATTAACAGAGACGTATAAATAAAAACATCGCAGCCACAGGCTGATTAAACGTCATCAGTTTGAGACGACGCAGCCATCAGCGCACAGTGACTCCTGTGGGAGCCACAAGAGTATTTTCAGTGAAACCGCGATGGACTGCAGTATTTTAAAAGTTGATTTTAGTTTTTCTGTGGGCTACTATGCTTTAAGGTGGGCCTTGGGGTGGAACAGGTTGAGAACCTCTGGTATAAAGCCCCCCAGCACTGGGCGGTGGAGCAGTGGAACTGTGTTCTCTGGAGTGATGGAGCTCCATTACAATTCCTCTGGGATGAGTTGTGGTGATCCAGAACTGACCATCCAACATCAGTACCTGACCTCACTAATGCTCAATCAAATCCTCACAGCAATGTTCCAACATCTAGCGTAAAGCCTTCCCAGAAGAGTAGAGGCTGTTACTGCAGCAAAGGAGGAACAAACTCACTATTAATACCCTTCATTTCAGAAGGAACATTGGAGGAACAGGAGTCTACAGACTTTTGGACATAAAATGTGTACATTTTACTGCTGGTCAATGAAAATGTAATGAAAAAAACATTTTACAGTGAATTATAAAATAAAGAGATCCATTAACTCCACCAATCTTTACTAACAAAACTCAGGAAAAGCTATAGTGTAGTTTACTGACATTTATTCATTTTAGTTTATACCTAAGGACTCAGTAAAGTTAATGTGTTTGACCTGCTTTGTCTTGTTTCTGTGTGTTTTGTGATGTGTCTATGTGTGTATGTGTGTGTGTGTGTGTGTGTGTGTGTGTGTGTGTGTGGGTGTGTGTGTGGGTGCAGTGTGTACTCAGGGCATCAGTCCATCCTGGTTCCTCCTCTGGAGTTGGAGAGTAACGTGTCTCTGTGGCTGTCGGCGGTGAGTCAGTTTAAGGTGCGAGTGACCTTCTGCTCATACTCGGTGATGGAGATGTGCACCAAAGGCCTGGGCTCTCAGACTGAAGGTCTACGGGTCAGTACACGTCACAGTCTCTCACTTTTAGCCCTTTTTAAGCACTTTAGATTTGATTTGATTCATCTTTATTGTCATTGTGCTGAGTAGAAGTACAGAGCCAATGAAATGTAGTTAGCATTTAACCAGAAGTGCGAAATACAGTATTATTTACATATAAAGTGCAGAAGGACGGTATAGTGGTAAAGAAATCTAGATAACCTTCAGCCCACGACTGCCTCCAAAATCCCGAAAAAGTGCTGACTTTGGGGGCAGTTGTGGGCTGGAGGTTAGAGAACCAGCCTTGTGACCAGAAGGTCGCCGGTTCAATCCCCTGAGCCGACAGGTCGTGACTGAGGCACCTAACCCCCAACTGCTCCCCAGATGCTGTGGATAGGGCTGCCCGCCACTCCGGGCAAGTGTGCTCACTGCCCCCTAGTGTGTGTGCATTCACTAGTGTGTATGCGAGTTTCACTGCACAGATGGGTTAAATGCGGAGGTGAATTTAAAGGGTAACTTACTGACTTACTTAGATGTGCAAGTATAAATATAATATATACAGAGTGAGTGGAGACCGTACAGTGTAGGTGAAAGGCTACGTTCACATTACCAGGTTGAATTGGCACAAATCCGATTTTAATGTGACTCAGATCTGATGTTTTCAGGGCTTTGTGGACACATAAAATCTGATCATTTCAAATCTAACCTGAGCCACTTTCATATTTGGTCCTAGATCGGATACGTATCCGATTCGTGGACAAGCAACCTTAATGTGACGCTCAGATCAGAATTCATTTGCTTTTTTTCCACCGCGTGTGCGTCATCATTCAGCGTTACCATGGCAACAACACTGAACAGAAGTTAAAGCCTGTAAACGGTGGAAAAGCAGCTCATCTCACCTTTTTCTCCTTCGTCTCGCTCTAATAATGAAGCTGAGAGCTGATCAGAGTTAATTATCTTCTCAGCGAAGCTCGTTCTGCTCGTTAGTTTGTGCTGATGATGAACGTGATTCATTCACGTGACGTTACTGAGTAAGATGAGCTCATGAGGGTCAGTTCAGGATGACGGTTCGTTCGTTAATGACAGGTTTGAGTCACTTACCTAAACGAGTGTGAACCATCGTGTTAGAGATCGGATTTGAGCAATGATGCTTGTAATGTGAACGTAGCCAAAGTGGCTCAGGTGGGATTTGAAGAGATCAGATTTGTGTCCACACAGCCCTGAAAACATCAGATCTGAGTCACATTAGGGCAAAAAATTGGATTTGTGCCACTTCAGTGTGGTAATGTGAACATAGCCAAATTGAGTGCACTTTCCAGTTCCTTTGTGCCTATTTTAGATTTTCATCTGCTGTTCAAATTGAGACACTAAGTCAGAATATCAAGAAAATAAGCCATTGTTTCTACTATGATAATGCTACAATACTATACTAATATTTCAAGAACATAAATCAGTTTTTCAAGACAATAAGTCAAAATTTTGACACAGTGCGTCGAGAAGCAGAGAAGGAAAAACAACGTGGAAAATTTGTCTTTTTAAAACACTGCAAAGCTGAAAAAGATGGTAAAAGCAGAGTATTAGGAAAAGCAGTAAAGCTCTCTGGTTTTCTCCCCTCGTTGTTGTTGTTGTGTGATCAGCTGCGGAACGTGAACCTGTCGTGTGTGCGCACCTGTATGGTGGTGGCGGAGGAGCGGCCGCGGATCGCTCTCACTCAGTCCTTCTCCAAAATCTTCAAAGACCTCGGCCTGTCGCCCCGGGCCGTCAGCACCACCTTCGGCTGCAGGGTCAACGTGGCCATCTGCCTTCAGGTGAGGGGGAGGGAGGGGCGTCTGAAGAGTGGGAGGGGCTTGAGGGGTGGGAGAGCAGATTAAGTGCAGTGCAGGAGGGGCAGTCACACTGTGATTAGTTGCCCCTTATATTAGGATACATTATGGGGACCCATTTATTTTTTGGGGGGCCTATAAGATTATGCTGCTGTACACTCTTAAAAATGATGGTTCTTCAAGGGTTCTTTAGTAAAGACAATGGTTCTATATAGAACCATGAACACTCAAAGAACCCTTTGCCTGATTAAAGGATCTTTATAGGTCTGTTTGATGAGTTGATGAAGATGATTAATGTGCTGTAGATGGTTCTATATAGAACCTTTTTGAAAAGCACCAAAAAGTGTTCTTCTACTGTTACGCTGTCAAGCCTGTAACCGAAAGGTGCTATTTATATTTATTATATTATATTTATATAAAACACACTGTCCATCAATCTGAAGAACACTTTAATGATGTAAACAACCCTTTAGTCACGCAAAGGGTCTTTTGAATGTTCATGGTTCCATATAGATCCATTTTCTCTACTAAAGAACTCTTGAATAACCATCTTGTATGTGTATATTTTTTTTTGGAAATTGGTATATTAATCCTAACAACATTTTATGTATATATAAAATGGTAACTTTACAGGAGAAGGAAAAACATACTTTACTTTTAATGTAAGTCAATGGAACCAGAATTTTTTTCCAATTTATTTTGGGTCATTTCTTTTGGTCCATTCATCATGAAATTTATACACAATGTAAAGAGCAACAGGCATTGTCAAATTATGCCAAAAACGACAAAAATGGGGATACAAGGTTTTGTTCCGACAGCAACGACATATATATATATATATATATATATATATATATATATATATATATATATATGAAGGAAAAAATAATAGATAAATAATCCTTTACTGCAGCCATAGATAAAATGCTGAAGGAAAAACAGATATTAACTGAAATCAAAGCTAAATGACGAATGTTCTCTAACAGAACTGTCTGACTGTTTTCTGGACATCGTTTCTGTGTCTGACTTGCTTTTTCTCTCCTTTGTTGTTTTGATTTTGTTTGTCTGTTTATTTGTGTTCTTTCTCGGTGTTTGGATGTGTCTTTGGGTTTTCGCCTGTTTTTTGGTTCTGTGTGTGTGTGTGTGTGTGTGTGTGTGTGTGTGTGTGTGTGTGTTTTACCTGTTTCTTCGTCCTACACCGTCAGCCCAACAGACTGGGCAACCTGGCTGATCAGGTATAGTGGATCAGAGGAGGCACGTGAGCGCTGGCGGGAAGCTCGTAGACAGTCTGCTTTTAATGTCATTTGTGTGTCTCTCGTGTGTCTCGTGTGGCCATACGCATTTACGTTTTGGTCAGTAGCTCATCTGCATGTCATAGAAAGCTGCTTTACGTTGGATATCTGTGATGTAGTACAGTCCTTTTCCACATTCCTGATGAGTTATGTCTGATGTGTCATGTTTGCTTTGTTACAGACCAAAACAGATTTAGTTGTTCAGATTTAACCACAGATGCTATTAAATATTTGCAGAGCTCCAACATACAAAATAAACAATTACAAGCGTATTCTAAAATAAATAAATGTATTTAAATAAAATAAACATAAATAACTCATAAATAGTCATAAATAACTGAAACCACATATTGAAGTCTATTAGGGATACTGAACATCACACAGTTTAAGGCACATGTCTGTTGATTTATGTACGCAGTTAGCATGATGCTAATTGGTGAGATATAAGATTGAGCATTACTTGTTAGCTACATTAACCTCATAGCTCCAGTGCTAGCTTTGATTGTCTTGTCTTAGGGGCTGTTTTTGAGGAAAATTGTATATTAAACTACAATTTTTTGTTTTGATAATAGTCAAAGGTCATTTGGATTTACTGCTATATATATATAATATATATACACTATATGGCCAAAAGTATGTAGACACCCCTCCTAATTGTTGCTTTCATTGCTAACTGGTATATAGAATCAAGCACACAGCCTTGCAGGCTCCATAGACAAACAATGGCAGTAGAGGGTTGTACTGATGAGCTCAGTAACTTTAAACATGGCACCATCATAGGATGCCACCTGTGAAATTTCTGTCCTGCTAGATCCGCCCCGGCCAACTGTAAGTGCTATTATTGTGAAACGGAAGCGTCTAGGATAAAAAACAACAAAGTGGTAGACCCGCAAACTCATAGAGCCGCCGAGTGCTGAAGTGCCAAACTGCCTCTGGAAGCAGCATCAGCATGATGATTGTGCATCAGGTGCATCTGTATCGTTGCAGTGAAGAGGCTGGCGTAATCCGTACCTGACCAGATGGGTGCTGTTATTAAGGCAAAGGGACGCGTAACCACATAATAGATAAGAAGAGCATGTGTCTAATTTTCTGCCCGGAGCATTCATCATATGATGATGTTCTTTTGTGTTCATTTCTAGCCCTTTTCTTCTCTCTGTAGGTCTGTACTATCACTGATAGCGCTTGGGTTGCTTGAAAACATAGAGTGAACATTTTTGCTTGTGCTGCCCTCTTTAATTTCCGCAGACTGTGTGTTTGGCCTTGGCCTCGCTGAGCTACGCGCTCCTAAACCAGTGCTGCTCCAGGGCTGTGGCTGCTCTGCGCGAGTAGAAGGGTTCTCTTCAGCTGTTTGCAGTACATTGTGGCTGCCACTAACAGCAGAACAGCAGAACGCCTCGTCTCAGGGGGGCAGACTGGTTGGCTGACTGATGGTCATTTCATAGCTGTCATATTAGAATTGATAATGCTTGCAGGGGGAAGGCCTAAGAATAAATAACCATAAGCCCAGTGTGTTTTATGCCAATGTTTTTGGTTTGTTGGACCCTGTTATTAATAATTATTCATACATATGCATTCTGTAGTGATCCACACTGTAAATTTCTCTATTTCTCTTTGTAACATGAGCCAGTTGGCAATTATTATTTCATTTAATAAATATGTTACTGCTATACTACAACAGTGTATATTACGGGAGCGCACAACATAACCTACAGTGGATGTAACATTCTTTATGTAGTTAAACAGATTTAGGGAGAACAAGCTTTTGGTCTTTTCATGTTTCCATAGCAACATCATATGCAAAGTTTCATAGCAATCGGACAGATAAAAGTCTTTTTTTCATTATGCACACTTAAAAAAGATGGTTCTGCCAGGGTTCTTTAAAAAATGGTTGAATATAGAAACATAAACACTCAAAGAACCCTTTGCCTGATTAAAGGGTTCTTTGCATCATGAAATGGTTCTTCAGATTGATGGAGAATGTGCTGTCGATGGTTCTATATAGAACCTTTAATCAATTTAATTCTAGATAGCACCAAAAGGGTTCTTCCCTTGTTACAAACTTGACATCATAACAATAGCAGAACACTTTGTGGTGCTATATAGAACCAGCTACAGCACACTCTCCATCAATTTGAAGAACCCTTTCATGATGCAAAAAACCCTTTAATCATGCAAAGGGTTCTTTGAGTATTCATGGCTCTATACATATCCATGTTCTTTACTAAGGAACCCTTGATGTTTTTAAGCATGTTCAGGAAGGCAAGTTTAAATGTTCCTACAGTCCAGTGAGCTTTGCATAAATAAAAGCAAATGGAACATCAAAAGGAAAAATAAAATAAAGTACTTAAGAGTAATAGTAAATAAATAAATAAATAAATAAATAAATCAAACAAACAAACTCACAGTGAGCTCTAGCCAGGCTAAAGCCCTTTCTCCAGCTGTTCGCCTCTTTTTTGAGCTGCCGTTCCAGCTTTGTTGAGCGTAGTGCGAGCTCTTCCTCCTCCAGGGCATTATGGGATGGCCGTCACCTGGCGCCTCAGATCATTCTGTCATGGTAAGAATCTTATTTCCAGTCTAATCACGTTCTTCTCCCCTCAGGGAACGGCTGGTCCTGACCCCACCACCGTCTACGTGGACATGAGAGCCCTGCGCCACGACAGGTACCGCAAAACCTCACAAACTCTCACTCCTTCAGCTCACTGAGCCAGCATCCTCCAACCTGCACCGAGATTCATATTAAATATGTGTCGGGACCAAGGGCCCTTCAACCCCAGACCTCCAACATAATATTATGAATAAAAGAGAAATCTCTTAATACTGGCTAAACACTTTCACTAATAACTGTTCTAAGTTCTCAGAAGATACCAATAAGGAAAAAGGCTTCTTCTTTATTTCAGCATTAAGCGGCTCACAGAGACCCAACTGGGCAAATACAGTGTCCCAAACACCAGTTTATACCGTTTATCTGGGGTAGTTTGATATCCCCCCACCTCACTTCTCAAACTTTGATATCAGCTCATTCTCTAATAGGTGCATCTCTTCGTCCATCAGTCTGGTCATCGCATGATGAGCTCACTCCTAAAAACTGGTTTCAACAGGTTTTTACCAGCCTGCTTTACCTTTCAAGGTCAACTTACCCCTCTCTTCACTGGGTCAGTAGGTACACACAGGCCTGTCTGTGAACCCAGGGGCTTTCCAGCATCTAGAATCTCCTATGCAGACAGACTAAGGCCTCCCTTTGTGAGAGAATTAATATGCTCTGTTAGCCAATACTGCCTATTGGTTATTGATTACAATATCTGATCTATCTGATTACTGATTAAGGGACTATTTATTCAAAATCTCCGTCATATGTTTGTATGATGCTAGAATTGAGTGCGATATTAAACATCTGGCAAAGTTTCAATGGAAAAAATAAACTTATCAGTCACACTTTATTTGGATGGCCCCCTATAGATGCTCTGCAGTTACTTAAATCATTAACAGCCTTTCTGGTGATTCTCAGTTGATTATCAAGAACATAATGGTTAGGGTTAGGATTAGGAGGTGCAGGTTTTGCTTTGAGGTCAAGGTTAGGCTTAGGGTTGGGGTTGGAGATAGATTTAATACAATCTTTCACACTGGACTTGTAGTTCAGTTGTATTTAATGGATATTTAGTTGAACGTTACTTAAAGATATACTGAGCAAAGCATCTACAGCGGACCATCCAAATAAAGTGTTACCAGCGTATCGCTTATTAGAGCTACCTGAGAACGATGTGGGTGTGGTCCTAGTATTCTAATGAGCATGCGTGATTGACATCTCTAAGCCCAACTGCTACACCACTGAAGCAGAACTGAGCACAACAGCTTGAGTGAAGCAGGGAGAAATAAGTGAAACAGGCTCTGCATTTATACCGATCAGGCATAACATTATGACCACCTCCTTGTTTCTACGCTCATTGTCCATTTTATCAGCTCCACTTACTGTATAGGTGCACTTTGTAGTTCTACAGTTACAGACTGTAGTCTATCTGTTTCTCTGCATACTTTGTTAGCCTCCTTTTACCCTGTTCTTCAGTGGTCAGGACCCCCATGGACCCTCACAGAGCAGCTACTATTTGGGTGGTGGATCATTCTCAGCACTGTAGTAACACTGACGTGGTGGTGGTGTGTTAGTGTGTGTTGTGCTGGTGCGAGTGGATCAGACACAGCAGTGCTGCTGTAGTTTTTAAACACCTCAGTGTCACTGCTGGACTGAGAATAGTCCACCAACCAAAAACATCCAGCCAACAGCGTCCAGTGGGCAGCGTCCTATGACCACTGATGAAGGACTAGAGGATGACCAACACAAACTGTGCAGCAGCAGATGAGCTATCGTCTCTGACTTTACATCTACAAGGTGGACTGACAAGGTAGGAGTGTCTAATAGAGTGGACAGTGAGTGGACACGGTGTTTAAAAACTCCAGCACCACTGCTGTGTCTGATCCACTCGCACCAGCACAACACACACTAACACACCACCACCACATCAGTGTTACTACAGTGCTGAGAATGATCCACCACCCAAATAGTACCTGCTCTGCGAGGGTCCATGGGGGTCCTGACCACTGAAGAACAGGGTAAAAGGGGGCTAACAAAGTATGCAGAGAAACAGATAGACTACAGTCTGTAACTGTAGAACTACAAAGTGCACCTATACAGTAAGTGGAGCTGATAAAATGGACAATGAGCGTAGAAACAAGGAGGTGGTCAGAATGTTGTGCCTGATCAGTGTACATCTACTCCACCATGTGCTCAAGTCCAAGATTAACCTCCCTACATGAAGAAAACATGGATTTTAGGTCACTGAGACTTTAAAGGCCACCTCATCCAGCTGGTAAAGACCATGTGAGAGTGTTGTATGGTGTTTAAGAAACCAGACAATATTTGTGAATTATTATCTGATTTGAGTGTTTCTGAATGTTTTAGAGTGCGGCTGGTTGAACGAGGCTCTCCACACAGTCTGCCTCTGATGGAGTCGGGGAAGGTGAGAAAACACAACACCTGTAAAGCTAACAGGTCAAATATGTATTATATATACAGTCATATGCAAAAGTTTTAACACCCCCCCAGTCAAATGACAAGGTTTTTTGATTTTAAGTGAAAAGTTAACACATCCTTCACAGACAACTCACTTAAATATGGCATTTTCTGCTAATTTTAGCACTTTTAATCACTGAATTTAGCATATTGGGAAAAATTACAGAGTGTGCTGTAAGATCATGAAGAGCCGTCCTACTGAACGTTCCAGAAATTAAGTACAAAGAGTGAGACAGCTTTCTGTCTCTGTGCTCTGAAGCTCTGGGACGCTTCACTGATAGACCCTCCTGAGACTCCCACCATCAACAGCTTTAAAAAGCAGCTCAAAAACATTTACTTAGATTGGCTTTTTATCAGTGATGGCTGCTTCATCTTATATACAGGTAGATATTGTATAAAAAAGGCTATATATCTATATATACTTACATATAAATATATTGCTTTTCATTTATAACGACTGTCCTTTTTTTAATTTTTTTTTTGTTACTTAATTTGTTTTATTTTTATTGTTTATAATGTTTTAGTACCTTTTGCACTTTGAGCCTGCATGCTTAAAAATGATGGTTCTTCAAGGGTTCTTTAGTAAAGAAAATGGTTCTATATAGACCAATGAATACTCACAGAACCCTTTCCTTAATTAAATCTTTGCATCGTGAAAGCGTTCTTCAGATTGATGGAGAATGTGCTGCAGATTGTTCTATATAGAACCTTTTTGAAAAGGATTCTGTGTAGCACCAAAAAGGGTTCTTCTATTGTAAGAAGCCTGATGTCGTAACAATAGAAGAACCCTTTTTGGTGCTATATAGAAGTCTTTTTAAAAAGGTTCTATATAGAACCATATACAGCACGTTTTCCATTAATTTGAAGAATCATTTAACAGTGCAAAGAACCCTTTAATTAAGGAAAGAGGTTTGTGAGTGTTCATAGGTCTATATAGAACCATTTTCTTTACTACATTTTTAAGTGTGTACATTTTATGTTTGAAATGTGCCAAATACAGTTATTATTATGTTTATTATTATCCTTATTATTATTATTATTATTATTAGCCTAACTGTGATCTTAACCTCTGACTGTAAATTCTGATCCTCTGTATTTTCTCCTGCAGATCCTGCCAGGAGTGAAAGTAATCATAGCTAACCCAGAAACCAAAGGGCCGCTGGGAGACTCTCATCTGGGAGAGGTGAGTATTTTATATGTAATAAAAATATGCCCTAAATGTTTCATATAGATATAAGTTACTATTAACAATGACTTGCTGTACACATTTAGGAAGAAACCCACCTGTTCTGGGTTATTAAATGTATATTTAGACCTTTTCTAATAATAGAATCACTCTTATCTCACTACTGTTGGCAGCTGAGCAGTTTTTAGGCCTAAAATGTGGAAACTCGTCTGATTTGTGTATTTTTAAACAGATCTGGGTGAGCAGTCCCCATAACGCCACAGGATACTACACAGTGTACGGCGAGGAGGCGCTCCACGCCGACCACTTCTGCACCAAACTGAGTTTCGGAGACACACAGACGGTGTGGGCGCGGACGGGCTACTTGGGCTTCCTGCGCAGGACCGAGCTGACCGACGCCAGCGGAGGTAAACCAGCTGCAGAACAGTTATTAACAAAACATGTGACTCTAGATAGTCACAGACCTGCAGCCCCTAAACAGCATCTGTACTGGGGGTGTGTGTGTGTATGTGTTTCTCCAGAGCGTCATGATGCTCTGTACGTGGTGGGTTCTCTGGATGAGACGCTGGAGCTCAGAGGGATGCGGTATCACCCCATAGACATCGAAACGTCCGTCATCAGGGCTCACAAGAGCATAGCAGAGTGGTGAGAACAGCTGCTCCTGCAGCTCTCTCTCTCTCTATCTCTCTCTCTCTCTCACTTTCTCCCTCTCTATTTCTCTCTCCTTCTGCCTCTCCCTCTCTTTCTTTTTCTCTCAATCTCTCAATCTCTCTCTCCCTTTCTCTCTCTCCCTTTCTCTTTCTCTCTTCCTTTGTGTCTCTCTCTCTTTCTTGCTCTTACTTTCTATCTCTGTCTCCACCTCTCTCTCTCTCACTTTTTTCTTTTCTCCCCTCTGTATTTTTCTCTCTCACTTTTTTCTTTTTGTCTCTCTCTCCCTCTCTCTCTATCTTTTCTCTCTTTCACCCTCACAATTTTCTCTATATCTCTCTCTCCCCTCTCTCTCTTTCTCCCTTTCTCCCCCGTCTCTCTTTCTCCCCTCTCTGTCTCTCTCTCTCTCTCTGTCTCTCTGTCTCTCTCTCTCTCTCTCTCTCTCTCTCTCTCTCTCTCTCTTTCGCTCTTTCTCTCTCTCTCTCTCTTTCTCTCTCTTTCTCTTTCTCCCCTCTCTCTCTCTCTCTCTGTCTCTCTCTCTCTCTCTCCCTCTCTTTCTCTTTCTCTCTCCTCTGTATCCCAAATGACCAGCTTCTTTAGTTTCAGCGCTGGAACTACAAAACTAATGTAGCTACGAGTAACGGAAGTTTATTTATGCCCAATTAGCATAATGCTAATTATATAAATCATAACCCACTCGTCTCAGGCCGCGCTGAGTTGCTCATGATCTCTAACAGACTTGCTCACGTGGTTTTATGTCATTCTGTTATCTATAAACATGGACTGAAATACAGACACAGCTAAAATCAGCAGATTTCCTGAGTTTGTCTGTGTGTTTATGTGTATGTCAGTGCTAATCGGTGGAATATGAGCTTTATTGTTCTTCCCCCTTCCAGTGCCGTGTTCACATGGACTAATTTGCTGGTGGTGGTGGTGGAGCTGGAGGGTTCGGAGCAGGAGGCTCTGGATCTCGTCGCCTTGGTAACCAACGTGGTTCTGGAGGAGCACTTCCTGATCGTCGGGGTGGTGGTGGTGGTCGACCCCGGGGTCATTCCCATCAACTCCCGCGGAGAGAAGCAGCGCATGCACCTGCGGGACGGCTTCCTGGCAGACCAACTGGACCCCATTTACGTGGCCTACAACATGTGATGAAGAGCAGCAAGCAGGACAGAAAAATGCAGAAAACGAGATCTTGACAAGTGAAAGCACCTTAAACACAGGCTACACGTGTAATATATCTGATTGTGAGACTGTTATGAGAATATTATGATTTTATTCGACCAATTTTTAGGTGTTTTTATCTTATTTCAAGGCATTTTATTCAGTAAAATGATCTCACTGCACTGAGAGAAATGTTTGCTTATTCCAATAAGCGAATGCTCGAAGGGAGTGAGATTTTACACAAAGGAGAACCATTTTAGTTCTATTTTAGTGATAGAACCTTTTAGTTGAAGAACCTTTTAAAGTTATAAAGAATCTACACATCGAGCAAAGGTCTTCTACCAAGTTAAGGGTTGTTCCAAGAACCTTTAGGGTGTGTAGAGGTTCTTTTAGACTTTTAAATGGTTGTTCACGTTCACACATCTCTTTTACAAAAATGTTTTTTTAAAGAACCCTTCAGGATCTTTATGGAATCAAAGATGGTTCTTCTATGGCATGGGGTTTCACAGCCAACACAAACGACCACGAAAGCTTTCGCAACCCGCAAAAATATTTAACTGATCTGGTGATTTTTTTTATTTCTAATTTCTCGTCTAATGAGAGCTGATCTTGTTCAGCAGCTACTGAGTGTTGGATGAAAGGCTGAAGAGAGGAAAGTTGCAAACAGAGTTCTGGCTCAGTTCAGGTTTAGATGTTATTTTATAGACTCACTGCTGTATTTTCTTCATTTCGGTTGATGATCGGTTTTCTCAGTCTGAGATACAGTGGCCGCTTCACTTATACACTCTTAAAAAAGATGGTTCTTCAGGGGTTCTTTAGTAAAGAAAATGGTTCTATATGGAACCCTGAACACTCAACCAAACCCTGATTAAACGGTTCTTTGTATCATCAAAGCGTTCTTCAGATTGATGGAGAATGTGCTGTAGATGGTTCTTTATGAAATCTTTTTGAAAATGCTTCTATATGGCACCAAAAAGGGATCTTCTATTGTTACAAACTTGACATCATAACATTTTGGTGCTATAAAGAACCATTTACTGTACATTCTCCAATCTGAAGAACTCTTTCATGATGCAAAGAACCCTTTAGTCGTTAACCATATGGCAAAAATATAACAGAGAAATGTCTTCTGGGTTTCTCAAACACTAGAGGGCGTCCCGAAGCGAGTCCAAAATGAATAGGTTAAGATGGAGCATTTGAGCAAAATCATAGTTTATAAATGCTTAAACATTTTTAATGTAAATAAAATAAAACATTCATTTCATGATCACAGAACAGCATAAAACATTTAACACTGCTGTTATATTTTTAAGAGCTTTTAAACTCGAATTATAAGAGTTTAAAACAGCGCCTCATGTACGTTCATGATGTCAGTGAGCACCAACGGCCAATGAGCTGCTCCACTCGCCAACCAATCAGCACTCAGGAGCCGTCATGTTAGCGTCCTGCTGTCCAAAACCCGTTTACTGTAGAAAAAAGGAAACATACAGGAGAGTTTTCTTTGTTTTTTTAGTGAAATCCTTTCTAATCTACTTTCTAAAATTAAAGAAAAGTTCTGGGCGAGTGATTAGAAACTATTTTAACTTTTTGATTTTAGCTGTTTAGCTCCATTTAGTCCCATTCATTGAGGACTCACTCGTGGGCGCCCTCTGCTTTTTTTGCAGTCCTGTTTTTGATATAACGAGGGAAATAGGAAGAGGCCAGACTCTTCATAAACCGGCTCTAAACATAACACAATAATACAAAATACACAAGACGACACATGATACGTTTAATATTATTTAGTTTTTCTGAAGTTTGTTAACAGAAAAAACAGAACCAGCAGTGCCACATGTGTTTTGTTCAATGTTTTACATGCTCCTTTGCACTCAGTGCAATTAAACAGGACTAATTATTCTCTCTTTGTAAAGGAACATGCAGTGATCTTTACATATTCATTGAAGGTGGTACAGAATTTAAGGTGGAACTCCATTTAAGGTGGCACTGAATGTAAGGTAGCACCAATTTTAAGGTGGAACTCCATTTAAGGTTGCACTAAAATTAAGTGAAAATGTTGCTAAGCGGATACAGCAGTATCCAAGGTGGATGATAATGCTTTGCTAGGTGCTACCTTAAATGGAGGTCTACCTTAAAGTCAGTGCCACCTTAATTTGAGTGCTACCTTAAATGGAGTTTCACCTTAAATTCTGTGCCACCCTTAATTTTAGTGCTACCTTAAATGAAGTTCCACCTTAAATTCTGTGCCACCTTTATTTTAGTGCAACCTTAAATGGAGGTCCACCTTAAATTCAGTGCCACCTTAATTTTAGTGCAACCTTAAAAGGAGTGCCTCCTTAAATTCAGTGCCACCTTAAATTCTGTGCCACTTTAATTTTAGTACTACCTTAAATGTAGGTTAAATGGAGGCACCTTAATATCATCATATTACCAACCCCTACTCAGATCATTTCTTTTGATAAAATTATGTGAAATAGAATAATAATCTAATAATTTTCTTGCTACAGCCCCATAATGAGAAATATTATGTACATATATATATATAGCCTGCATTTCAGATGCTTTCACTTGCCAAGACATATTTTGCAGCAAGAGACTGGGAGAGTTTGCACAGAGAGAAAAAGCCTGAGCGAGAGAAACAGAGAGAGTTTCTCTTTCTGCACATCCTCTTCATCCAATAAGTGCAGTCGCTGATGGAGCTATGCAGCGTGTGTTTGTGTTTTTAAGGGAAGACTGTTAAAAGCCTTGAACACAAAACTGCGTCTCCTCATTTCATCAGGGCAAATGACTGACTGACTGACTTTCCTTTGGTTTTTAGGCTCCTCGTGTCTTATTCTCACCTGAATATCACTTTAACACGTGCCGGGAAGCTCACGCCGGTTTGGGAACACGTGCACGTGTGCGGAGGTCCTGAGAGAGCCGCCCAAACTCACTCACAGTCCTGGAGGACGGAGGAAGGAAGCGCAGGATGAATAAACCTAAATAACACGACAGAGCGAGAGAGAGAGCTGATACTGGGTCTGTCGTTTGTAGGACGTCCTGATCTGATGTTTTAGTGGCTCGAGTGTCGACTGTGTTCAGCCCGGTCCAGTTCAGGGCTGCAGTGAGGAGAGTTTTCTGAAGATAACAAAGCTCATGATATTTATGACACTGCATATGATATGTACAGTTGTATGCAAAAGTTTGGGCACCCCTGGTCAAATGATATTTTGTGAAAACAAGTGAAAATAAGTTTTCCACTGATTTTTCAAAAATTCTGTATAATTTACTGTTTGACATGTAAACAAAGTCATTCAGAGTGATTTCATGTGAAATGGTTCACTGTAGAGAGACTTATTGACTCTGATTTCTTTACAGTGGTGGTGATAGGAACCAGGGGTCACCATGACTACAACACAAATATAGCAAATAAATAGAAATTGTGCAGTAAAAAATTGCAGAAAATACCATATTTAAGTTCACTGTAGAGGATGTGTAAACTTATTTTCACTCAGGAAATCAACACAACATGTAATTTGACCAGAAGTGTTCAAACTTCTGCATACGACTGTTTGCACAGTACTGTGCAAAAGTGTTAGGCACCTAAAAAAAGTGAAAAAAAGTGAGTACGTAAAACATTTCCAAATCTCTCCTCCCGTATTTACAGTTAATATCCAACACTGCGTTTATCTAATCAGCCCTTCATTCCATTAAATCAGGTAAACTTAACAAATCCATACAGTTTTAAAAAACTGTATTCTTCCACCTGCATTTTCATAATTTTACTTATGTCTTACTTTTCACTGTATTTATGCTTATTTGCATTTATTCTAATGTTATTTAGTGTTTTACTTGCAAAAAACACCCCTAATGCCCAGATAAATTGGTTTAAACAACTTTTTCTTAAGTGCCTAAGACCTTTGCAGAGCAAATTCCTCTGTTTACATATCAGACATATCAAAAATGATTTTACTGCAGTGTTTAAAAGTCACTGGTAGCCAAAATCATGGGTCAAAAAACTAATAAAATTGCCATTTGATACAAAGTAGAACAAAAAAACCCATATCGAGTCAGAGTGTCCCACTATGCAGATACTAAAAATGAAGTGATTTTACTGTAGCACTAATTAATGATTAATTAGCGTATCACTATTTTTGGAACAAAACCTTGTATCTCCAAAATGGTAACTTTACAGGAGAAGGAAAAAACCTACTTTACTTTTAATGGAAGTCAATGGAACCAGACTTTTTGTCATTTTGGGCCGTTTCTTTTGGTCCATTCATCATGAAATTTACATACAATGTAAAGAACAACAGGCATTTTCAAAATATGTCAAAAACTGAAAAATGACAAAAATGGAGATACGAGGTTTTGTTCCGACAGCAGCGACATATTAGCTAAACTGGATTTTTTAAAATAGCTTTATTGTGTTTGAAGTGTGCACGGAGCGGCTGTATTATCTATGAAATACAGATATCAGATCGTACTCGATATGGGCCGATACTCAACATTAAAGGACTCGGATCAGGACCCTGATTATTTACGCTCTCTGTCCTAATGAATATGATAACACGGCGGACGAGTGAGCTCCATCAGCGCTCTCTACTCAGAGATCTCTCCTACATCAGCAGAAACATCAGAGATTTTGTTTTTGTGAACAAAATTTATCCCAGCAGGTGTGAAAATTAGGAATTTGCTTCATTTCATGATGTCAGCGTTGCTGGTGGTGTAGCGATCACGAAACTAACAGACAAACCAAAACGGTTCGGTTTGCTTTCTTTACACACCAACACTAACTTACACATACTGAGTCTTTAATATCTGTGAGGTATTTTGTTCAAACACCAAAATGCAATAAGGAGAGTGATGTTGTGGTGCTTTGGAGGAGGTTTGGGGTGGAAATTGTGCTGCTGTTGTGCAGATTTGATCCTCAGTATTGCAGTTTTTCTCACTTGCTTGCACACATCTCAAGATCCAGCGTCTGAAATACCTCAAAAAACTGTTTATGCGTCTCACAAAACCTGCATTTTTAACTTGTTTTTAGCAAAACAAGACAGTGGCGTCTTATAATGGCACCAGAATTCAGCATATGAAGTGCAGTATGTTCTTATGAAGTCATTTCAGACGAAATAGATTCTTTTGAATTTTTTTCAAAATGTCTGCCTAATTCAATCATTGAGATGTAACCAGAGAGATTCAGAGTGGTTTGGTGTGAAGTGGTTCAGATGTCTTTACAGTGGTGGTGATAGGAACCAGGGGTCACCATGACTACAACACTAATATAGACATTTTATTTACTATCCAAAACCACCAGTGAACCTACACGTCTTCTAAGCTTTATATGGAGTATTGACGGTAAAATAGTGGAAAATCTGAAAAAAATGTTTTTTGTTTTGGGGACTATTTTGCCTCACAACACCCTGCATGTATCCCTCTGCCAGGAATGGATTTTGAAAAAAATGCATTTTAGTCCAAAATCTTCTCAAAACTATCATAAAACAGTGTCTCAGTCATCAGGCAGTGAATTCATAACCATTTCATGTAGTAACTTTCTGTGAGGGAGCTTTTAGAGGTGGACGTCTGGTTCCTATCACCACCACTGTGAACAGTTCTGACTCGGTAAGTTTCTCTAGAACAGAGCGTTTCACACCAAACCACTCTGAATGACTCCGGTTACATCTCAGCTATTTAATCATGCAGAAATTTAGAAAAATCAGTGGGATTCCCCTTTAAGCAGCCGAGTCATGTTAGTTTAGGGTTGGAATTCTGAAAGTTGGTAGATCTTCATGACGAGGTTGTGCTAAAATAATAGATAAGTGACTCGA